ACTTTATCCCACCTTTTAAGTTCTTAATATATATATATGTATGCTTTATGTATTAACTTTTTTTTTAAATACACACATACACATCGTCATAAATATACATTTTTCCATTAGTAAAAATTATATAATTATATTTGACAAAATATAAGAAAAATAGAAATCTCACGTTTTATAATTTAATAAGTTATCATTCCACACTACCATATGAATTATCTATTTAAACAACAACATAAAAATATTTTCGTATTAACATAAATGAATTCGAATCGACTGTCTTGATGCTCTGAGTGAATATTGATTATGCTGTCCCTCTTATGAGAGAGCCGACCTCTACAGATCTGTTATAACATTAAAACATAGGCCTTAAGCATTGAAAGTCAACACTACATCCGTATTAAATTACCTAATTTTTTATGATTCGATGCATTAAATCTCAGCTTTAATTCAAGCAGCTAGAGCATTAGAAATAACTATTTTGACTCGCGCGCACTAACGCACGCGCGCAAACACAGGCGTAAGATGTGTGAGTTTGTAGAACGTAAGATTATATAACGTAGGATTTTATACTCAGCTTCAAAGGAAACGTTCATTGGTTAATACAAATATATTTGTTCGAACCCGTTTCATTCTACATTTTTTCAATCAGTCACAGTTCATTTCATCGCTAAATTTACTTCAATCCATTCAAAATTCAGTTTTCATATTTTTTTCACGATCAATGCAGATCGAAGGAAAACAATAGACCGGAGCAGGATTAAAAGATAGTGAAATCCGTAGCTATTGAAAAATTTCAGTTCCTTTTGGAAAAATAATGAAAGAAAGGTGGGTGTGAGGGGGGGGGGGAGTATCTGGTGTGGATGAAGAATCTAAATCGTAACAGTAAACGAGAAACCGAATAAATATCATTAGTTAATTAATCATTTCGGTTATAAATTACATTTACAAAACAAAGGCTACAAAGCAAACATCTATTTTGGAAATACAAATAATTATTTTTATTTCGTATAAAGAATAGAGTAATACAAATAATTCATTACAGTAAAAAACAAAAAACTACTAAACATGAACGTATTCTTTTTTTTTTTTTTTGTTTGACTAGTTCATCGCTAAAAATAAACACTTCATGTAATTTTTGTAAAACGAGTAATTATACAAATTACAATAAATATTAAAAATGTTTTAATTACAAAATAATGATTCTTCTTTATACAAAAAAAATATATATATATATAAAGATGTTTAATAAAAGTATAGTTTCTTTGTACAACACGAAAATAATAAATTCATAATGCAAAAACAAAAAAAACATTTTAACGGAAAATTTATAACTTTTTGCTCTATGTTCCAAAATTGTATTTTATTTTGCATTTATTTTTTGAGTTTTCAAATTGATTAGGCGACTAATGAGAATATATTCCCGTAGCTTCTAATCAGAAATAAAACGGAATAGAAATTTCGGAAATTTATAATTTTTTCTCATAATATAATTTGAATGTTGAGTTTGCCTTTTACAGAATTTGTAATAAGATTTTATTATCTAACAATAAAATGTGTAAATTAAGTTATCATTCAACATTGAATTATTATTATTTTAAAAGCCATAGTGACGATTAAAGTAATTAGCGAATCTTATCATCATTATTACAGGCACATAGATTATCATATAAATTCACATGCGTGTGTGTACATTCTTATGACAAGCACAACACGATTGAAGGGGTGTACGTTGCGTGTGTATGCGAGTGTGCATCAATTTTTGTATTAAGACCCATTGTCAGGAATAGCTTTGATTTGGCTGAGTACTGCTTGTACTTACATTTCCAGACTAAGTGTTCTTAATAATTGGTAATTAAAGCGGATAGAGTTAAACGAACATTACTATCTATGACCTTGAGAATGGATATTGATGGTAAAGTGCTTGCGTAGTCGCTTTCGTAGCTATGGCAAATGAACTCAACATCCCATTAAAAATGACGAGTACAGCGAATGTTACGGGCTTGAAAAATATAATATGAAAAATTATTATAAGTACGACCATGTACGTACAAGAGACCCAAAGCATATAATACCGCCAGATCGAAGCAAACGAGTATTGCCATAATTTTTTATTGTTGTTGTTTTTTTGTTTTTTTTTTTTAAATATTAAAATGATTGGTTGTATGAAAGATGAAGTAAGAATTTCTCTTCTTTCTATTTTTTTAACCATATATATAATATTTACACTCTTGACATATTTAATTTTGAATATTAGATTGTGAAATAAAATACATATCGATAATTTAATTCAATTAAGATATTTTCATAAAAGTCTTTATAATATTATGGATATTTTTACAAAAATACTGTAATACATAAGGGAATTCGTACAAACGAACATATTAAAAAGTACATAATTTGTTATATAATTAAATTTATATAGTTATACAGTTAAATTAATTATAAATTGTTAAATCATAATAGACGATTTGATAGTGTGTAAGTAAAATATCGTAACATCTACGAAAAACAAGTAGAATGTTTGGCACAAATGGTCGCAAAATATTATTTAATTGAAAATCATGACATAAATATGAAATTATACAATTAGAATGCATATGGTTATAAATAAAATGTCATAGAATAAATAATAAAATCTCTCGTTTACAACTTACCGCTTAGAAATTAATATGTGATATGATTTAATGAATGTTTTCATCAACAGTCGCTAATTTCAATTAACTATCTACGTATTTCAGTTAGAGAATGATACTGGAATTATGGTGGTCTTACAATTACCAATACTTGATTTTTAAAACCAATGCTTTAATCTAATATATTTATTATTGTCAGGGAGTGATTGAGCTCTTTCAAAAATAATGACAAAACGATAAAACCTAACTTATTTTGAACATTGATATATATGTATATATATATATATATATATATATATATAATTACGATATTTCAAACAATATTTAAAAATTTAATCTGCTTAAATAAACAAAAATTAAAATTGTAATGAGAAATTGTAATTGTAAATATGTATGTAGTTAATTCTGATTAATATATTTATCAAATTTATTATATCTGTACGGATATAAAATTTTAAATAAAAATATTTTAAATATATAGATATTTCATTCGATAAGCTCATTTTATTGTTATATGTTTTATATAGTTAATTCGGGAATTGTAGGCGATGCCATTTTTTTTCTTCTTCAAAATTTATATTTAACATAATAGTTGATTTACTACAATTATAGAAAGTACATAGTTATTAAATTTTAATAAAAAGTTTTCGCACAATTTTTTGAAATTATTATAAAAAAAAATATTCGGAATTATTAATAATATTGACAATAGTAGATACTTCGTTGCAATATCAATAAAATGATATCACATTATTAATGTAATGTTATTTAAAGTAAACATTTACAAAATTGTAATCATAACAATTAAACTTTTTCATTATTTTATTTTACAGCAGGTCACTCAAACTATAGATCGTCAATTTTAGGTAAATCTAGAATAATTAATTTTATTGACAATTTCATTTTTAATCAAATATTCTATTTTTATAATATTAAGTTTAATTTATTTAGAAAATAATTCTTTTTAAAACAGAATGTTATTTATAAATTTATTTCCGAAATTTTACATGACATCTTAAATACACATTTATTTTTATATATTTTTTGGATTGATAATTTAGTACAAGAAAATAATTCTTACATTCTTCGGGGATCAAGTGATATAAAATTAATGTTTTCGTTATTTCCAAAATTAAATGGTTTTAATGTACAAAAACTACTTGTATCTGTATATCTATACCGAGTGAAGTGCTTTCTCTCTCTCTCTCTCTCTCTCTCTCTCTTTCCCCCAATTTAGAAGTTTTGCAATTGGTCTTAGTAAAAACAATGGCCCCAAAAGATTAAACGGCAGATAAATTTATTAAAGAGACGAGTAAAAAATCTTTAAATAATATTGAATTGTTTAAAACAGTAACGATTGAAGCACCTGAAATATTATCCCTTTAATATTATTTTAATTAGTTTTATCGTATTAATTACACTTTTCGAAATACTTGTATAAAATAATTTAATGAAATTATTTATTATTATTGTTATTATTTTTTTTTTTTTATTTTTTTTTTTTTTTTTTTTTATAAACAATAATGATAATAAATTCTGTTTTTAATTTTGTATATAAATTGTAATCTTGAATAAGCAGATTTAACTTTTATTTATGACATACATAAATATAATTTTAATTTTATTGCATTCGTATTTAAATAAAAATAAATAATCATAAGGTATATTTTTATTAGAATAATAAAATTTAAATTTAAAAACTAGAAGAACTTCAACTAGTAAACTGAAAATTAATCAATTGATTGAAAATTTTATATTTATATCTTTCGAATTTACTTTAGTTTTCTTCTTCTTCTTTTTTTACCAATATTGAGACATAATTAATAAAATATTTTAAAAATTCTTGTTTTTCATTTCATGCTTCAATTAGCTGAAAATAATAGAGATAATAAACCATCGTCTGAATTATGTTACAATACAAATTTGGAATTTCATTTACATACAAGATAGAAATATATTTACATATTTTAATATACTCAATTGGTTTAAATAGTTTGTAATTAATTCAACAAATATGGAATTTGATATTATTTTCATAAAGTATGAATATAAGTAATACCATGATAATTGATGATTTTTTATAAAGATGAAGGAGTTTACATGAGGCAATGAGATATTATACTTATGAAATATAAATTATTTAAAAATGCTTTCAAACATCTGCAATATCTTAGAGTAAATGTTTATTCTTGGAAAAATGATTAAATTCACATTTTCATGAATGCATAGATTACAAAATAATAATGTGAAATATTTACTTTATGGTTTATGGTAATTTATTCGAAACATCGCTTAAGCTTTCTACAATTGTCGACAAAATACACTTTTCTATTTATATTTACGTAATTTATAATTTCATCTCTGCACTTTTTCATAAAATTTCCACGTAATAGAAAATCTCTTTTCGTTCAATTCGATTATGTATTTTGTACTTTATTGCTTATAAAATGTTTCCGAAAACAAATAAACAGCCATGAAATGTCGTATAAGCGTTACACTATCGATTGGAGTATCGATTGAAGTGAAATTACACATTATATTATGATCGAAAATAATCGAATTATTTTTTTTTCTACGATTTCTGAAGGTTTTCTTCACTTTTCGCCTCGTTTATTCGTCCATTTGCCAACGTTACGTGCACCCTAAATGTATAATGTCTTATTTGATTGTGAGTCAACTGGCCTAAAGGACGTATTAACTTTTCGTAATGTATCGATTAAAAAAAAATAAATAATTGTCTCGCGTCACCAATGTTTGCTACTTATTACGCTACTAACTGAATTTCTTTCTCTTTCTCTTTCGCGATTAATTACATCGCCATACTTACACTAATCAACCCTAATAAACGCACACTAAGTGATGACGTGGCATTGAGAGTCGTGGCTCCATCTTCAGTAAATATTCCGAATGTTTAATATGTACATTTTCAAAGTTTGAAATAAAAAATGAAAGTCAATTGTAACCTGTAAGAGTGAGCAATAAATAGCAAGTATCCGTGCCGCCTAAATACATTGTATGAGAGAAGAAAAAAATGATCGAATGACATTTTATTATTTAATATTAAGTGAGCATATTAATACGAGAAGGAAATTCATTTTTTCAGTAAAAAAATGTTTATTGTTACGAAAACGATTGATAGTGAAAACATAAGTAAAGTATGCAGAACTTGTTTAAGGGAAGATAATGACAAGATGGTTTATTTATTTGTCGGTCCGGCACAGTCATCGTTGGGTGCTAAGCTACAATCTCTCTCTTGTTTAGAGGTAAATGAGGAATTTGATAAACGATACGTTGAATTATATGAGCTTGAGGTTGAATAGTAATACATCATTTCGTTAATTGTTGGTGAACAATAATTTTTTTTAGGTTACACAAGGTGATGGTCTTCCCGAAAAGATGTGTGACAGATGTGTTATAAGAGCGGAATCGGCTCTTCTTTTTCGTGAACAGTGTCGAGCTGCAGATCAGGCACTTAAACAAGCCGCTATTAGAGTTTCTAAAGCAAAGGCTTTCTCAAATATTCCTACGTGTAAAATCTATCCGCAGAATCAAAATTATGTACCCCTACCATATACCCAAGGCGCAACAAACTTTGCAGATTGCAGACTTTTTACAAATCATCAAGAACTTTATATGCACAATCGATTGTATCCCCAAATTTATCAAAGAGATGAAAATTTACCTCAACATATGAGTATAGTCGAATCCCATAATGCCTATCTTAATTTAAGTCGTTACAATACCGGCTTCACCCATCACGATTTAATGTCGGATAAAGTCTCGTCTATCATTAGGCAGGATGATTTAGATTCTTTTATAAGGCATGATTCGGCGCATAACGAAGGGTCTTGCGCATTGCAGTGTTCGCTTTGCAATTACACTTTTAACGACAGAACTCAATTGGAAAATCATAGTATCACGCATAATTCAGACAGCATGGATTTGTCTAGCGACGAGGTTAATATCGAGGTTGAAGATAATTCGAGCGAACTAGGAAGAAATATCAATTTTGAAAGACCCATTGTACGAACGGTGGAACAATCTTTAGAAAATATTTCGTACGATAAAATAAATTCCGATTGTAGTAACGGATATCAAAATTTAAATTTTTCAAACATTATCAGTCAAAATAATTCTGAAATTATAAATGTGATGGATCCGATAATTATTCCTCAAGAAATGCCAATGCCAAATTTTATGGAAACCTCTCAAATTACCAAAAATAATCGTTTTAAGTGTGAAATTTGTTCTCGATTATTTTCTCAAAAGGCAAAGCTCGTAGCCCATCAGTTGTCTCATACCAAGCAGAAACCGTTCGAGTGCGTGCACTGTGGAAAAACCTACTCATCAAAAAGCAAGCTCGCTGCGCACGGCAGACTACATACGCAAACCAACATTCATCAGTGCAATATTTGTCAAAAGATATTTTCTTATCCATCGTATTTAAGTGATCACATGAAAACTCACAATCCCAAGGCAGAGAAAAAAGCCTCCTTCCAGTGCGTTCAGTGTAACAAACAATTTTTCTTTGCCAAGAGCTACAAAAGGCATATGAAATTCCATACGGGTAAAGGCTTATTTCACTGTGACATTTGTGATAAATTATTTAGTCAAAAATATTCATTAAAAGTTCACATGCAATCTCACGACTCGACCAGATGTCACAAGTGCGAGCTATGCGATAAATCATTTAATCAAAAAAGCAATCTTGTCGAACACATGAGAACACACACTAAAGTGAAGCCCTTTAAGTGTAAAATCTGTGAGAAAAGTTTTACACAGTCTAGTCATTTGAAGAGCCATGAAGTATCTCATAATTCGATTCGCCAATTTCAGTGCAGATTGTGTGGCAAAAGATTCAAACTAGCAAGTCACTTAAAGCGACATGTTAATTTGCACACTGGATTAAAGATGTTCAAATGCAACGAGTGTAATCAAATGTTTTCGCAATCATTTAGTTTAAAGCGCCACACAAAGAAACACTTAGAATCTAATTTATGATTTTGTAATATATTATTTTTTATAAAACTTTTATTCAATAAAAGCTTTTTATTCAATTGATTGTTTAATCTTATTACTTTACTCCAGCCACGTTGAGATGTTGAATTTCACAATCACGTAAAACGCGTTTTATTTCTTTTTTTCTTTTAGGCTTTCAACATTAGTTTAGACTCTTTGGATTAAAAGCTCACGCTAGTCGCAATGTAGATGTAGTAATAATAAAATTATAGCTAACAAATAATATTATTAACACTATTGATATAAGATCTAATCAATGTAAGATTACAATATCTCTTAAAATCTATAATATTCATTTTAAAATAATTAAATTATAATATTTGAAGGCTTATAATTATTACAGAGCAGTGTGCATGTGCGATAATTTTTTTTTTTATCTTTTCAATTATAAATAACATATAAGAATTCGTGCACACGAATTATCTCAGCAATAAACATTATGAATTATATATGTAAATTATTAAAAAAAAAATTATGTCTCTCCATATTTGGTGACGATTGAAGTTGTTACAATATGAAGATGTATTATCAGAGATTTGTATTACAAGTTATTTTACTAAGTCTTTCTGTGGCTAAGAAGCGTTGATGTGATAATATTTAGCGCAACTCTGATTTGTTCCTCGTTAATGACGAGGGGTGGGGAAATCCTTATTATATAGTTATGAGCTGGTCTCGTTAGTAGTCCTTTATTGATTAGCTTCGCGCAAATGTCCCATCCGTTTGCAAAATCTATATAAATCGAATAAAGTTTTGCGTAATAAGAGAATTGACAAATTGACGTTAAATAAATATTATAAGATCATAGTTGTAGTGAAGCGAATTGAATTTACTTTGCTTAATGATTAAAAATTCTATTACTTTTCTATCGGTATTTAATAGATTGAATTTTAACGTTGCCTTGTAAATTAGGTTTGCCGTTATAAAATAAAATTGCGGGTAAAAAAAAATTCAGAAACTTAAAATATTATGTAAATTTTACAATGTGTTAGTTCGTGAAATCTTGTCTTATGGCAAAATCTATTCTAGAATAAAAATTATGTGTAATTTTCTCATAATTTTCTTATTTCACTTGTATTTTAAGGGAAGTGAGTGCATTTATAATTGAAATACTAATTTTTTTTTTTTTACTCAAAAAAGAAAAGAAAAGAATAGAATAAAAAAAAAATTCACTTCTTTACAGATAACAAGTGAGAAAAATACGTTAAAAAGAAAATTAGTTGTAAGAATTAAAACAAACGACAAAAAGAAAGGAGATCGTTATAAATCCAAATGTATTAAGAAATTTTCAAGTAATTATTATATAATGGATTGAATTACAAGATTATTATTCGATTATTAAAAAAATACAAGAAATATAACAAAGTTATACGAATATATTATTGGCATTAATGTTAATGACAACTGCTAAAGACCGAAGCACGAAAGTCTAAAAAATATGAATATTAATATTAAAAGGACTGTCAAAGGAATAATAATAATAATAATAATAATAATAATAATAATAATATGTGCAAGAATTGATTGCATCGGCAAGAAGACAAAACGAGCGGAATGAGAATAATTTATTAAAATTTGAAATCCTAATAAAGGGTTTCTAAAGTAAATTCTTTCAGGATTCGCATAACCTTTCAAAAACGCATACCTGGATTCAATTGAAGACCAGCCAATAATCCTCGGCCTCTGAATTCAAGTGCAATATCTTTAGGTATTTTTTCAAGTTCCTTCCTCACAATTTCGCCCATTTTTGCAGCATTTTCCGCTAGCTTCTCTTCCTCCAAAATTTTCAACGCTTCGAGAGCAACTCGTTGACCTAACGGACTGCCACCAAATGTACTTCCATGAACACCCGTTTCTAATGCTAAAATCATCTGAAATATCATTCAATTAATTTAATAAAATTTATTATTTTCTTGAAATATTTTAACATTTCACGAACTTTAAAACGTTGGACAATACGTAATGCATAATGCATAATACGAGTCATTGTTAAGAACATTAAGCAGCAAGACTTTGTATTAAAGTTATTTTTCATTAAACACTCATTACACAATGAGCTAAATTAATTTTTATTTTATAATTTAATGAAATCATCCGCATTAACTAATGAAAACTTGGCGATACGAGACTGTCAGATATAAAAAGGAAGTACGCGCATAGCTGCTTAAAATTACGTTGAAAGTTCTGAAAAATAATTCCGCGAAATTAAAATTTAATATTAATTTACAAATATTACAAAAGATTTATAATTGCGAGTAGTAGTGTAAGAAATATAATATAGAGAACGGCTATTAAAATTGTTGCCCATTATTTAATATCAGCCCCTTTATTTATAACAATTAGGTGCATTGTTACGATAATCGCGATTACGCTTTAGGCCATAACAAATGCGCCCAGACAATGGGCATAAACTAAATTTGCAATTGTATTATTATTTAATTTCGATATCTTTCTGCCTCGGCAAGTAGTGGGTAATATAAATCCCCATGCACTTTATTTACGTATTCTCCTGAATACCCTGAAAAATTTGCATCTGAAATATTAATCTCGTCTATCTGGTATTACTTATGCCTACGGAGATTCTTAATTACAGTCAAACTTACCTGGTGCAACGTTATAATAATTAAATATTTGAAAGCTCCCGAGGCGACCCATACCATCAATGCTTTATTAATAAGGCCGAACCAACTCCCGTGAAACGAGCCTTAAATCCAAATGAGAGTTCGCAAATCGTGTTCGCCGTTGCCCTTACCTCGCTACTGCCAAGGACACCGGACACCGGGTACATTCCGCCGGACAAAGCTTTGCCGACGACCAACAAATCTGGCTTCACGGCCTCGTGATCAACGGCGAGGCGCCTGCCCGTACGGCCGAGGCCCGTCTGTACCTCGTCAACGACTAGCAGGACGTTGTACTTGGTGCAGAGCTCGCGGACGCCCCTCAGGTACCCATTCTGAAAACGAGTTTGGCCGGCGAGGTACGCATTAAGCTAGTTCATTGGCTTAGTGTTAATCGTGGATGAAATGGGTGGATGGAAGTGGCTGTGGGGAAGCTGGAAGCTCGATGGATAACTTGGGCCGTAAAAAATTCCGGGATCCTAATGAAATTCGAGTGGAAGTGAGGGCGCGAACGGTGCCCTGATAAAGGCAAACGTCGCATTAAAGTTGACATAAAAATTTACTACCGTCATATCCGATCCGAGAGCTTGAGGTAGCCGCCCCGCGGTGCTATGCCTGACCTTAAGCTTTTTAATAACTTTGCGCTTTCCCGATCGAGATTGCCAATTTTCGACGTGCCACGTCGGGCTGAAGATTCGCGCTGAAGCAGAGGTTAGCGTCTCGGGAACATCGATAACGTTCGATGGCGTCTCAGAAGCCCGAAGCTCTTTAATCCTCCATTCTAGTCGTACGAATAACTCCTCTATTATTATTATTATTATTATTATTATTATTATTATTATTATTATTATTATAACCATTATAAGTATTATTATTGTTATAATCGTTCTTACTATCATTATAAGCATCATCATTCTTCTTTTTCTTCTTCTTCTTCTTCTTCTTCCTATTATTATTATTATTATTATTATTATTATTATACAGAAAGAGGTAGCAGCTGTCTTTTGCTTTGAACAAAAATATATGCTTCCATTCCGCTCGGCACACCATTGCTTTCGAAATTGCCGTTCATAGTGCACCGTTGAGATTGCTATATTAACGAGATAAATTAAGATTTGTAAGCAAAAAATTGATATGCGCGCGTTCTGCCGTTGCACAAAGTTTCAACGCGCTTCTTCAAAAAATGTGGAGACTAGCCGTTATAATATTAACAAGTATTGTTTATCCTCGCATTGCGCGCGTTCGCTAAATACCGGCGAAACTAGATTAATAATCGCGAGTGAACGAATCAACGGCATTGAATGGAATCGTGAAAGAAGTGAGGGAGGATAAGTGTTGGGGTGGACAATAACTCAAAGTCAATAACTTTTAAAGGAACGAGGGAAAGTAGGGGGAGAGGGAGGTAGGAAGGGGATCGTGAGCTAATTCGTAGAGCGAACTGCGGCTGAGAGGATGTTGATTTGGAAGTGGCGGTGATAGCGTGCGCGTGCGCGCGCGCGCGCACGCGCGTGTGTGTGTGTGTGTGTGTGCGTGTGCGTGAGGGAGGGTGGTGGGGGTCGACGGAGGAGGAGGAGAAGATTACCGAGGGTATGACGACACCGGCTTCGCCCTGAATCGGCTCGACCATGAAGGCGCACACGTTTGGATTCTCCTGGAGCTTGCGCTCGAGGGCTTCGAGATCGTCGAACGTTACGCTGTCGAAGAGGGGCATGTACGGTCCAAAGTCCCGGTAGCAGTTGGGATCCGTGGAGGCGGAGAGGGCGGCAAGGGATCGGCCCCAGTAGTTGCCCTTGGCGAAAATCGTCGTTGCCTTGTTGCTCGGGATCTTCTTCGTTCTGTAGCCCCAACGACGCGCAATTTTCAAGGCCGTGTCACCTGCCTCGACACCTGCGCAGTTTTTTTCCCCTCTCATTCTTTCACCTTATTTACTATTAACACCACGGGGCCTTTGTCTGCTCATTGAGAAGGCAATTAGCGTTGACGACACACGCTCGATATGTTGTTCAGGCATGGCGTGATGATGCAAGCTCGTAAGTATGGGCTTTACAAACGGCTTTCGATATTACGGCTTTAAAGTCGGGAGCCCCGATTTGGATGTACCGCTCAAGCTTGGTAATGAGATTGTAATTATGGAAAGTTATTTCTGGAATTAATTGTATAACGAGCATGTGCGAGTGAGTAGCGAATAGAGGAGCGCAGTGGAAGAAATTATTCGATTCGAACGATGCTTATGAATTTGTGTGTGTGTGTGTGTGCGCGGGGCGGGAGGGGGGGGGGGGGGGGGGGGGGGAGAGTCTTTATGGTAGTGTATGCATGGTTGTAGTAAGCGACTACATTCGGATTATTTCTTTTGCAAATTCACCAAAAAACGATCGTTTACTGAAAGTAATCAAATTGACGAATTGGCATGAAATAAAAATTTCAAAATTCTCTACTAATAATTCCCTAGTAAGTTAATAATGATTTGTATTCTTCGCTTTGTACTCTCGGCTTTTAATTTTATTACCGTGTTTACAATGTATTAGAGCATGCTTTACCATTATAAAGTATACATGTAATATATTTACGTGTATTTTATAAAATATATTTTGAAGTAAAATATGCCAAACCAAGCACGAAAGCCTTTCAGAATATTGACTTTATATTTTCGGAAGTTGGATGAAAGTTATTCTGAATAATGCAAAAAGGTTCGTTTCCAGTTCAAATTTAAAGAAACGAAAAGTTGAAAAGACTCTCGAAAAATAAATCAACATCACAACAACGATGACGACAAAGACGACGACGACGACGACGACGACGAAAAAAAAAAGTAATAACAACAATAACAGTAATAATAGTATTAGTAATAGTAATGGTAAAAAATAACAATAATAACAATAATAACAACAACAACAACAATAATAATAAACTATAACGAAAAAAATAAACCTAATGACAATTCAATGGAATTAAATAAGTCAAATCATATACTACAAAATCATTCCCTTCTCTCAATCTTGGCATAATTTCCTGGTTTTTGAAAAATTTTATTTGCATGAAAAGTTATCGATAACCACAGCACAATGGGCTTACAAATGCAGTATATCAATGTAAATTCGCTACGTCAAATTATCCAATCGAGTCCAATTAAATTCAATTGATATTATTTGTACATTAAGCAGCAACCATTACGAATTTATGAATAAAGCACTGACAATGTGAAAAGCTTCGATCTTTTTCCCTAATAAGCCAACACCCATCGATTGACCGACCAACTAGCCGAGCATCATTTTTCATCTCTTCCACGCGTTAATAACAGCATCATCGAACCCCTTAAACAACAACTTTCCAAGTCGCCTCTAAGTCGCCAAGGGAAAAGGGTCGAGCTTCGTTCAAAGGCCCGGATGAATAATAATCAGACTTGGCCGGCATTGCGACTCACCGGTGTTCATGGGCAGAAACCTTTCGTAGCCCGTAATTGCGGTAAGGTACTCGGCGAGCTCGCCGTGCGGCTCCGTGTAGAAGGCCCTCGACGTGTGCGCGAGCTTAGCTACCTGGTCGCGCATCGCCTCGACGAGTCTCGGGTGGGAGTGACCCTGGCTGACGGTGGCGAAACCCGCCAGGAGGTCGATGTAGCGCTTGCCCTCGGTGTCCCAGCAGTAGACGCCCTCGGCGCGCCTCAGGACGACTGGGAGGCTCTTGAAGTGGTGACCGCCAAGGCGCTCGTCCCTCTCGATTATCTTACGACTGCTTAGCCAGCGACTCCGCAGCTTCTCCCCCTGACTGATCAGCAGTCTTCGGTCCAGATGCCTCATCCTCGTGTCTCTCACGGCTTCTCCTTTGCAAGTTATACCGGAGCGGTGATGGGGGTGGGTGAAAAAGAGGAGACTGTTGGGTCGCTCACTGCCCTCTCGTTGTCAGGATGTTGGACCTCAGGGCGAGCTTTGGCTCTTTCGTGCTCGAGTTTGTGCGTGCAGTTGTCTCGGACAGTTGCGCTATCATCATAATGTTTGCTCGACTTAAATTGCCGTTACGAGTCCCCAGGGCTTACGATAATATCAATATTATTATGACGTATGATAAATTATTAATTGGGAATAGGGATGCCGGGATTTATTATTATAGTACAAATTTAATGTACTTTTTGGGTTGATGAAAAGTTGTACGATGAGGATCGAATTGGAGCCTCGTGTTTAGCGAGATAAACGTCGGAGATGCGCGAATTTTATGAATTTCCCAGCTAATTGCATTTAACAAAATTGTATGTTTATTATTGCTGGCACTAATGTTGCTGACAATAATCGAAAAGTGTGTGTCAATGTGAATTGAAATTGTAGATCTTTGTTTATAATATATATTTTTCCATAGTTGTTGAGACACGCCCTTAATAATAATGAAAATTATAATTGATCGATTGTTTATATTAATTGCAATAAATGAAATGTATTTAACTTAATTACTGTAAATTAATTGAATTAAAATATTGAATTGCATGGAAAATTGTTACGTAGCTCAAATATAAGTTATATATATATATATATATATTTTTTTTTTTTTATATACTTTTAAAACTTGTACGAAGCCCCTTCAATTAATTTAAACGTTCTAAAACATTGAATTATAAAATATGATAACATTTACAAGGAGAAATTCCTAAAATCATGTAAAAAAAATTTGAATATTTTAGAAAGGAGTATTAATAAACTATTTTCTCACTTTGTATTAACTATATGTCTATTCTCATGTTATTGCGATTGAAATTAAAAACGTTAAGATTACACGCTGTTTATGATTTCGCATAAGTGGCAATTTGAGATTAAATAAAAATTTACCGAATAACAATAAATACTCTTTAAAAAGATAATAATAGTAAAAACTTTAACATTTCACGTGTTCTAAATAATGAAAGTACGTTGAAATTTTTACTTACATCGTTAAAGATATCAGTATTATCAGAGTCCTTATGAAAATGCCTATAAATTATGATAATAGTATATACTGTTTGAATATTTACGATAATACTCTCTAGGACTGGAAATATTCGGTTGATATCGCACGAAGTCAACGTGTCACTCTTCTTCTTTCGTCGCTTATGACAATATTCGAGAATTGGAAAAATTCTCGTGCCATTTATAGGCGTGGAGTCAGGATAGCGAACATGAATTAGTGGCATCGCCCTATCTCTCTCTCTCTCTCTCTCTCTCACTCACTCACTCACTCACTCTACCCCTCCCTGTCCCTCCCTTTCACTCTAACATGCACATACGCATTCTTATTTGTTCTGCTATTTATCCACATAATCTTTGCGTGTTAGCCTTTGACAATAATACGTGTGGGACGGGCATTGACCAAAACTGATAATGATGATAAGGACGACACGTATGCAGGCAAAAAAAAAAAAAAAAAAAAGAAACGACAATTTGCGAGATTATGGTTGAGAATTTGCAATGAAGGTGGAGGAGGCGCCATCGAGTCAGCGTGTGCCCAAGTCATATTCACAAAAAATGCGAGCAAGCGACGAAAATCATTATTATTTCTTTTTTCCTTCTCTTCGACTCAACTGCATCAATATTTTTAATGTAGTCAATATACTTTTATGAGATATTTATAAAATGACGAGGGTCATTATGTCGTTTTAACAATGGAAACTTACCTTCCGGTGAATGAACACTACGATTCCATTTCTTAAATTACTAATTTCACAAATATGAGGCGCAAATGATAACTACGTTTCATAATTATATTTTATTTCTTATAAATAAAAGTGAGCTATCAATTTTTTAAATAAGATATTAAAAACAAAAAAAAAAAAACAAAAAAAAAAACAATATTTTAAGGATTATATATAATAAAATATAATAATAATTTTTTTTAAAATAAATAATAATCTATTTTCAATATTCCTTAGAAGCTTCGTTATCCAATTAAATACACGTGAAAAGAAAACGAAAATCGTATATAAATTTATTGCGTTGCATTTGACAAAATGCAGTTATTATGGGAGATAAATAAACCTTAAGATATTCGTAATTCACGGGAATGTGAAAAAATTAGAAATCAGTCATCGGCAAAAGCGCAAATGTATTTGATCAACAGAAAATACATTTCATGCATTCTCAACATCTAATACTTTTTCTTATCTGGTCTCGGGTAATCGCATATACCATATTCAATTGATAAATGTCTAATTAATGCCTGAATAATGCACCATTTACATAAATGCATATATAAAAAGTAGAATCGTAAATTTATAAATATAGTCTAGACTACTTGCTTATTAAATATATATGCAAACATAAATATTTACCATATTTTCGTTTACTCAAATTATAAACTTACTTTTCAATCTTTTGCCTCGGCTCGCGTAATAATGCTTTAAGCCAAATACCGTATTTTAAAAGCATTTTTCATAAAATTTTATAATTTGTCTAATTTTGCCAGAAGATATTTTTAGTATTTAATTACGTCATTACAATGAATGCATAGTTGTTGTAAAAACAGGGCTATAATTTGAAAAACTTTTATTGTCTGTATAACTTTGAGAGGAAGTACTAAAGAAAAATTTTAAACGATATTAGATATATAAAAAACAAAAAAAAAAAAAAAAAAAAAAAAAAAGAAATGAAAAAGAAAAAAAAATTATATGACAATGGCTTCATAAATCTTTGCCGTATACTTGCTGTAATCTATGACGTTGTAAAGTGTAAAATTAATATGTTCACATTTTTCTCCTCAAATCGTTGGCAATAATAAATTTTATAAAAATATAAAGTGTTTAATGTTATGTCACATTTATATCATCGATGTACATGTAAACAAAATTTACAATCCTTGTGATTCCTAAAATAATCTCATATTCTTTAAATTGCATTACATTACGTGCATTCATTTAAATAAATAAATATTTCATACACGTTGAATTTTTCTCGCATGTATTTGTAAAAAAATAACATTTGATCGCAATTTTAAATAAAGTTTTATATCATAAGATATTGTATTTATATTTACGGACTAATTTTTTTGTGTGTAAGAAATTTATCGTTGATAAGATAAGGAAAATCACTGCAGATGTTGAATTCCTTCAAGCTGTTTCATTTTAATTTATTCTTTATCTTTGATAACTTTTTGTTAATCGATCGTCACGTCTATACCAATAGCGATAAACATCGGATACGGTTTAAGGTAACATTTTCATGTATAATTATTTTCAATATTAATAATATTGTATAATTCATGAGCGTAGAATAATAAATATTTTATTATTAACATTACGGTTGATTTAAATGGCATATTGAATGTTGTATATTGAAAGGAGCGGAGTGACGTAATAAATATTGAACAATAATATATACGGCTAGGCATATTTTAATATTTTTATTTTTCACTCGAAATCATTCAAAGGAAAAAATATACAAATATATTTTTTTTAATTACAACAATTTGAATTTGCAAATTTCATATTAAATTATGAAAATCAAATTCAATGGTCAATTTTTGAGAATGACATAATTTATAATTAATCTTCGATTTGTGATTTTGTTAAATGCTACTGTAAATAAGTAATGTAAGTAACGGAATATTTGTGCGCCTGCGCGTGTGTTTGTATTGATAGCTGAAAAATTAATTAAACTTTATGAATTAAGAAATGAGGTTCTATTTTTGTTTTTATTCTATTTTTATCTTCCAGGATTAAATTCTGTTTACAATTTTTTTTTTTTCAATAGCTTCATTCTATTACAAATAATGCAATTATTAATCGTTGATATTTTCAGTTATTTATCATCCCAATGAATGGAAAATGCTAGAAGCTACGGGACTCGGAGCAATAAATGTTTAACTTCACAAATATGTGACTTTCATTTGCCTTTTCAAATTGTTTCGGAGAATGAATGGTCGGAAAGATCAAGAGATCCCCAGGTCATAAACAGTCATTGATCATTTAGCCGTTTATTGCTTGGAACACGCATTATGACGAATTACAGACAATAAATAATCTAATTTAATACAAGTAATTCGGCCGTTTTGCCCTATTGTCTGGAAAATATTCACAAATTTCAATAATTTGCTCTTATCGAAATCAGTACAATTTTTATTGCATTATCGGCTATTCATAATTATTATGGATAGCCAATATTTCATTGAATTAAATCATCAATTGTAATGTATGCAGTTTTTATATGCTGGGGTGCGAATATAGAACAAAAGGTCTGCATTAAAAAGAAAAAAATTTAATACTTTATTCAATTCGTTATATCTCAACATTATTATTAATGAATTGTATTAAAACAAATTTTATATTATTTGTACATCATTGAAATCATTACGACTCGTACGACCATCTACTTACACTCAACAATACTAATTAATTCGTAAAGTCCTTTTTCTAATGAAAGCCATCTTATCCCGATGGTCCTTTACAACCTTAAACATAAAACAAATAAACGAGTGTAAAACTAAAGCAACGTCTTTATTATTAATTTATCTTCGATTGTCGTTGCTTTCGTTCAGTGCCAATGATTGCAGACAAAAATTCCAATTCAATGTTTGATATTCCACGTGGAAAATATTTGCGTCGCGCCATTATCCATCAGCGCCGGCTCGATATCGTAAAAACAATGCAGTTTTCTTGCTAGGACCTGGAATTTGTTATCCGATGGTCAATCGCGGCTGGGCTTATCGATCGGACGAGTCGAGGAGCCGAGACAGTGAGTCCTCGAGCGCCGCTTGAGCCTCAGGCCTTTTGACAACCGATCACCTTCTCGATGATCTCCGCGCACTGGAAGATTTGGGCCTCGTTGATAACGAGGGGCGGGGCCAGGCGAATTATGTGCCCGTGGGTCGGTTTTGCCAGCAGACCCTCTTCCTTCAACTGCCTACACACGTTCATCGCGTCGATTTTCTCGTTGATGACGATGGCGTTGAGAAGACCTTTGCCCCGGACGAGCGTCACCACGTCCTTCGGCAACTTCATCAGCTCGCCGCGCAAAATCTTGCCTGATTTTTGTTTTTTGTTTGTTTTGTTTAGTTTGTTTTGGGACAGAGATAAAGAGTCGCTTAAATGTACTTCGTCCAATGGGCATTAGCACTTAAGATAAGTAATATAGGCGAGGAGTGAGGCTATTTATTTATTTGGGAGAGCGAGGAGCCGGGGCGAAAGGACGAAAGAAAGCTGACGTTTCATCGGAAAATAAATGAAGACTTGGAGAATACGTTGTGGTTTATGTTTAAAAAATAGAATGAGTAAAGAGTTCTCTGTTCGGCACTTTTTTACGACACGAAGGGAAACACGGGACTGTAAAAGTTTGAAAAATCCTAAATTTATTTATGCCCTACTAAAAACCCATACTTTCATATCTCTATGAGTTTAATGAATTCGGACGGACCGGCGATTAAATTTATTTTCTATGTAAAAATTGTGTCAACATTTTTATTAGAGCAGTAAAATAAGGTGCAAATTGATACGGTAATTAATAGCACTCGCTTTAGATTTCGATATAATTGAGTAAAAATCAGACTTTTATAGAAATTTATAATTTTGAAATGGGATGTTTTACTTTTGAAGAGGTAATAGGATAATAATCGGTAGCTTCCATCGCTTTTGAGGCCAAAATACTTTTGTCAAATATCATTTATTTAATTTACTTTTAGCCGAACACTATGATTTCGAAACATATAAAATTCATACAATTTTCCCCACCCTTTTCTCAGCTACGTACCTTGCACATGCAACATTAACCACATGCAAAATTACAGTCTTTTAATTGCAAAGTATACGTACTCTTTCGTCATCATTTTAAATTAAAAGTCAATGGCTCTAGGGATGAAATGGAACCAAAGTTGGCTAATTATAATAATGAAAATAACTCGTATCAGTAAGTTATAATACATAAGTTATTCTTATTAATTCTTGACAATCAAATGTATTTCTCACGATATTTATTAGTTTTAATGTAATTGATTTTTATATATAAAATAGGCAATTAATATTGAAATTTGATTAATATTAATATTGATTTTTATATATAAAATAGGCAATAATATTGAACAATTAGATTGTAAATTATTAATGGAGCGTTTTTTGTTTTTTTTGTTTTTTGTTTTTTTTTTGTTTTTTGTTTTTTGTTTTACTAAATCCTAGGAAAATTTATATCATCATTGCAAAAATTATAATTTCGTGTTATGTAATAAAAATAACCTTCGCATTAAAAATACATTTACAGTAGTAGTATATTTAATTTTTAAACGATTTATTAATTATTAATAATTAAAATGTATATTCTTATCGATTCATTTCCGTCCGCGTGATTTTATAAATAAGTAAGCATGTTGGACCTAGATATCTTTCTCTTTTCCTTCTGCCCTTCAAGCATTTTTAATCCTCGATTTTCATCTACGAATATTTATAAATTTCTAAGGCAGATTTTCATATTTTATTAAGTTTCTTCTTTAATAAACATCAATTGAATTACTAATCAATGAAATTAAACTCTATCTTCCAATTAATTATTACACCTTTCTTAAAAGTTTATTAAAATATTTTTAATATTATTAAAATTAATTATTAATTTTAATATTATTAAAAATATTTCATGTATCTCAATTAATTATATGCTAAGTACCTTCGATGTAATTGTAGCGTTATAATTTATCTCAACAATGAATAATAAACGTACTATAAATTTATATACATACTCGTGTCCGTTTCAAGCGTTTCTTTGCTAAAAAAGCTTATTAAAAAAAGTATTTACAAATTCATTCTAATACAGAAGCAATTAAATTTGTATCAATTTAAAGTTAAGAAATTGCGCGACCAACCAGTAAAGATTAGATATCAAGAGATAATTTTTTAACCCATTACTCGACTATTAAAGTACTAGTAAAATTAGTTATTTCATTGAAATATATTCTTAATGATTTAGTAACAATATAAACAATATATAAACTTGACTATATCTATATATATATATATATATATATATATATCATGAATAATATCATAAAAGAATATAGAATATGAAAAATGAAAGTATTCCATGCTAATATTAATTGTAATAAATATTGGTTATAATATCGTTAATAAGATGCATAAAATGTTCAACATTCAGGTATAAAAACAAAATTGATATTTAACGGAAAAGGTTTGAAGATTTTTTTTATGCACGCGAATTAGAAAATTAAAATGATGGAAAAAATTGTACTAAATGTTATAAGAAATGGTTCTTAAATGCTCTACGCAATTGCTATTTGTTATATTAAAAAGATAGAATATTTCATGGCTAAAAGTAATAATTAAACAAAAATTATATTGTTTTTTAATATTACGAATTTGTTCGTTAAAACTGACGTAACTAAAGAATAAAAAATAAAGAAAATAAGAAATAAAGACAAAAAGATCGAAGAACATAATTATATTTTGATTGAAATACGGCTATAATTTTATGCAGATTTAAAAGATAATGCTGTTTAAAGATGAAAATAAATCTCTTCGTGCTCTCATTTAATATGAAATAAGAAAATTAATGCAAATATATTTTAATGATAATTAGAGTAGAGCACGAGTAGAAAATAATCTACCGGAACTTGTAAACTTTGTGGATTGAAAGAGCGTGATATGCTACTGTTTCTCTTAATCATGTTGCCTTTGCACACGTCATAATATTTACATAAGCTAACAGCAAAGACAACAACAACAACATCAACAACAACAACATAATTAACAATAACAACAACAACAACAACATCAGTAACAATAATAATAATAACAATAACAATAACAACAACAACAACAACAACAACAACAACAACAACAACAACGATAATGAGGTATTTCTTTAAATGCACCACCGTAATGCAATTGTAAACGATGTTTTACGTTTAATTTGTCATTTGAAACTTAATTTATAATCTGTAACACAAGTTAGGATAATATTCGAGGATTTATCGAAATTCCGTTAATAATAAAGCTTTCCGATAATGTATATCATATTTTATTATAACGAGTTATAGAATTAAAATAAAAGTGTATTATATTCCAGTGACGTCATTTTTTACCTTATCGATGCATAATTTAAATTAAGCTTATTGTCATGGAATTTGACAATCATAATTATAATTTATAAAGCAATAATAGTGATGCACGATATCACGAAAATAAGATGAAGAAAGCAGATAGTGTAGAAAATGGATAATGGCCTGTCAGATGAGGTACATTTACATTATCTAGTCATACTGTCGCGATAATTAAATCATACAATTTACGATTATTAAAGTATACGGCTAGAATAGTTATTGATAAGCACTAATCGATATCTCAATGTGATAATAAGGAAAATAAAGCCCTCGAGGGAGAATCATAAAACTTTAATGGCTGCCAATTTGGCATTTCTCTACCGTCTCCCTTCACACTTAAACACATAGTCTTTAAGATTTTTTAACCTCTCTCATTCGTTCCTCATTCCCCCTCCCATCAACCCCCTCCCTCACGTCTCCTTAATCTCACCGCTATTTCGTCCCGCTCTTTCGTCACAAAAATCAACGAAATTTTACCTGGACGTTCTCGATTACCACCCGGACATGCCGATAAAAAGATAATACACGCCCGGATAAAGTGATTAAAGGAGGTCGAGTGCTTTATTCATCAGGGAGGCAATGGAAAGTTTTTATTCTTGAGATTCAATAGCTAAGGTTCAATAATAGCAATTCAATAAGATGATCGTTCGTTGCGCAGGGGATCGGCATTCAAGAAGAAGGATAGAAAGAAAAATGATTGAAATAAAGGACGAATAAACTCTGGCTCACCAAGTCTATCAGCATTTTCCGCGAGCTTCTCCTCCTCAAGGACCTTGAGGGCTTCGAGGGCGATGCGACATCCCAGGGGATTGCCACCGTAGGTCGAGCCGTGCTCGCCGGGCTTTATCACGAGCATAACCTCGTCGTTGGCGAGGACACCCGAGACGGGATAAAATCCACCGGACAGGGCCTTACCAAGAATCACGATATCCGGCTTCACGTCCTCGTGATCAACGGCCAGGCGCCTGCCCGTGCGGCTGAGGCCCGTCTGCACCTCGTCGGCGATCCACAGGACATTGTTCCTCGTGCAGATGTCGCGCACACCTTTCAAGTAGCCGTCCTGACAAAGAGATACATCTGGAAATGTAGTGAGCCGCTTGTCGAGCGAGCGAGGCAGCGAGATGGTGATGATGCTCGTTGGCGTGGATTGGCGCGGCAGGAGGGAGGGACGGGGTAATGGAGGGGTCAGTCTCGGGACGAAGAACCTTTTTAAAATCGAAATCATTATCGGGGACGTTGATAGAGCGCGCGAGGCGCGAGAAACTTGTTTAGAGTTGCCTAAGGGGACGCGAGTGGTCGTCGACGTATAATTGTTCAAGGTAAACGCTTTGCGTGACGCTAATTGTCTAACGAATAATAAACATCGAGCCGTGCGATTATCGCTTCATTATCACAAAATGGGGTACAATTTTTATTTTTAATCCCTTTGTTATTTTTATCCGGCCACTGATGCGAGCATTTATTTATTAATCGAGCAGCCACAAGTTCACGTTAGATGTTTGCCGATAAAAGAGTTTTGTTCGTTTGGGAAATATTAATAATCGCTGCTTGTTTGTCGCTGGACGCTGGCCTTTGCACATCGCAATTTCGGGGATGAAAGTAAGGGGTGCATTGTTTGGAAATCGTAGCTCGCAATGCGAAAAACTAATGCCCCCATTTGAATAAATGGAAATTGGCGTGATTGCGAGTCCACGGTGAGCTTCGTCGTCTATTATTATTTGTAACTCGAGCGTGTTGTTTTCATTCGATTAGGCGCTTTAAAGAAAAAAGAAAAAAGAAAAAAAACAACAACAACAACAACAAGAAAAAAAAACAAGAAACAAAGTAGAAAAACTCGACGATATTTACGCGTCTCGTAATATGCTTTTGTAATATTGTATTACGTTTATGGGAGTGGGGGTGGCAAATAAACGTTAAATAATAAATAAATAAACGTGGTTTATGTGAAAAAGAAGCGCGGCTGCTACCGTGCCCGATGAGCCGCTTTCTCCGACACCGCCACTATTTATAAATTTGATATCGCGCCTTACGATTAATGGACGATATCGCTAATTGAATATTTGAAAATAAATAATGTACACTTCCCCAGCGACTTTCAAGAAAAACGTCGAGGTAAAATATTATATAATACGACCGCACTATTTTGGCCTCGCGCGATCCGATTCATTTTCATCGATTGCCGATAATTGTCGTATTATCTGTTCTTCAATCTCGACATTTATAATGTGCGTTGTCCGTTTCAATTATAATTAATGTTGGGACAGGATTACGCGAAATTGTTGAACTTGGACCATGCGGCCGCTCACGTATAAGCCGCAGAAACTTTGGAAAGGACGAGTGCAGTCGAAGCATTCGAATCCGTCGTACCACTTCCTTCATTCGCGTAAATAAATGGAATCTCCCATTCGACCTTGGGGCGATTTTGGCGAAATGGCCGGTAACTCGAATTACGTAAGGATCGTATGAGGAGGGCCTGCCTGACCAAGAGGCAGCGGATATATTTTAAGCGCGTCAACAAAGGCCAAACTACCAAGTAAACAGCGAGTCGCGTCAAGTTTATGACCAGAGTGACTCGGCAATATTAGCCAGAAAAATTTCTCTCCCTCCTCGTCATTGCGCCACATAAGCCTCGCGCTCTTTAAATGTCAATGGTAATAAAGTCCAAACCTTGGGCACAACGACCCCGGCCTCCCCCTGGATCGGCTCGACCATGAAAGCGCAAACCGTCGGGTCCTGGGTGGCCTGCTCGAGGGCCTCGAGATCGTCGTAGGGTATGAGCTCGAAGCCGGGCATGAAGGGCCCGAAGCCGGTGTAGCTCGTGGGGTCGGTGCTCGACGAGACGGCGCTCAAGGTCCTGCCCCAGAAGTTGCCCCTGGCGAATATGATCTTGGCCTGGTAGGGCTCGATGCCCTTGCAATCGTAGCCCCATCTGCGGGCGAGTTTACACGCGGTCTCGCCGCCCTCGACGCCGGTGTTCATCGGTAGCCACTTGTCGTACCTGCCAAGCGCAGTGCAATTATCCGGGTTAACGGCGCCCCCTTCGATATCCGATAAGCGGCATAGCATTAGGAGCGAGTACTCACTGGAAGAGGCGCGTAATGTACTCCTCGAACTCGCCGAGCATGTCCGAGTAGAAGGCCCTCGAGGTAAGAGTAAGCTGCCTCGCCTGATCCGTCATCGCCCGATAGATTCGCGGATGGCAGTGACCCTGGTTAACGGCCGAGTAGGCCGAGAGGAAGTCGAAGTAGCGCTTGCCCTCGCAGTCCCAGACGAAGATGCCCTCGCCGCGCGTCAGGGCGACCTCCAGCGGATGGTAATTGTGGGCCCCGTATTTATGCTCCCGGACGAAGACCTCGCGGGAGGAGATGCCCCGGGAGGCGAGCGGCAGCATCAGCCGCTGGGCTACGGGGCTGAACCTCGACATCAGCATGTTGTCCGGCTCGGTTTACGTCGTCCGCTAGAACAGAAGAGGTCGGTCGATCATGGTAGGATGACAAACTCTAACGCTCTCAGCAGCGGCGACTCTTATTCGCTATCCCCGTTAGGTAGCTCTTTCACCTTCGTTTAACCTTGTCTGTCCGCTTTTCCTATTTTTCTCTCCTAGTCAATCGCCCTACTTCTCCATCCGACACTCCTTCGATTTTTCCCTTTTACGGATTTTCCATCCTATATTTCTTATCTTTTTCTCTTTTTTTTCTTTTGCTATTTTGCTTTTTTCTCTTTTATTTTTCTCTTTTTGTCTTTCTCTCTCTCTCTCTCTCTCTCTCTCTCTCTCTCTCTCTCTCTCTCTTTGTTTGTTGTATTCGCTTCTTTTCAAAGCCGACACGCACACGAGCTTCACCAGTGGCTCCATCGATAAACACTGATTTTGCGCCTCGCCCCCGATTCCCAATGCTCTACAAGTTTTTCAAAGGAATGACCTCCAATTGCCGTGCTCGATCGACTCGTCCACGCCATAGATACGCGCATTCAGTCGACATATCTACGGTTCATTCGTCCCAGCTCTTTTTCTCCATGGGAATACGATATTTGAAAGCATTATCCACGTTGCACTAAGCCTCCTTCGTTTTTCTTATCTTCGCCGAGAGTCGCTTGCGTTTAACGTTATTTTGAAAAACACACGCGTCATATCGGCTTTGGCGTCGTTACGAGCTTACACACCAATGCTATCGGCGCATAATCGATCGATAAGCTTACGGTCCTACTTTTTCAATTTTCAGATTTCGAATAAGCCGTATGTGCCGTCGTACCTCGGCATTTTAATCGACCCCTCGAGGCTTTTCAGACTTATTGCGATTAATGGTCCAACGATTGTATTTAGTCTTATTTAAAAGTCTCGCCGCAACTTAGAGCAAATGTTTCTTATGAAACAAATTCGCAAAAATGAAACAAATCAATTGATTAATAAATAAGGTGCGTTATTTTGCCAATGCCGTGAAAAATTCATCGGAGCTACGTAATATCCAATATATTTTTTCAACTTGAGAATAATTACAAGGTAGTTTTAATTCGATGTATCAGACGTATTAACGTTATACGAAAGATCTTGATTAATCGGGGAATTGCGGTGGCTCTGTCGATGTTTCCAACACTTAACCAACAAAAGCAATCTCGTTATAAATACGCGTTATGCACGCAATTTTCCGCACGGCTTGAAAGGTGCGATTGGTAAAATCAATTGATACATTAAGCTAATAAAGAGATTAATACTGATTGGCGCATTATCGAACGCTACTTTATTACATTGTATTGCTACAGTTTGGGCAAGCATTAATTGCACGCAAATAATAATTTTGAAAGAAAGAGAGAACAAAGTTTTTACAGTTGCTCCAAGCATACTATCCGTCCTTCGCCACAACAATAATGTTCGAATTTTTGCATTGCAGTACGCGTTAATAAATACTCCTTAAAAAATGTCATTTATCCATCGTTTGTCTATCGTTTGCTACGTCGGCCGCCGAATCAATTAATCAAGAGTCTTCCAATGGGCTGCCTCGTGCAATTAAACGATCTGCAAAAACGTGCTTCTTTTCTTTAAAACGCCTATGCTTTGGAGCTGATCGCTGCCATTTAATGACTTCATGAGCACCCACGAGCTCACATAGGTGCGAATATGTTATAGGATATTCTTTCGATATGGAGATACAATGTTCGGCTTCGAGTATCGCGTTGTCACTAAGTAGTTGGAAGTAAATCTAACGAATATGATATAATTGGATGGTTGTAACGACTCGTAAATGCAAACGTGACGAATGCTCGACATACAAAACGCAATGTGGCTCTTGAAACTCATCGGCGGCCATCTTCAAGAACGTTTATCATAATTATGCATAATCCGATTCGATCTAGCTCAATTAATTGGGATAATTAATATCTTAAGTAGGCTTTAAAGACGTAAAAACAAAATGTGGAAGGAAAGTGGGGATACGTTATTTGCAACGAAGAGATGAATTTTTTTTCTTTTAATATTAACGAATGAACGATCGATAACTTCTTTCCTTTCGCAAATATTTGGAATTACTTGGAGCATGGAGCGAGAGATCGAAAATGCTGACGATATTAAAAGTCTCTCATCGTCAATAATCGATAATATTGACGTTGATGGTTCGAAAGATGCTTTATAAATGGTTTTACATATATTTACGAATGTCAATAATTCGCAGCGTATATTGTTATTGCAATTATATTAATCGTTTCCGCTGAATTCGTAGATCAATGTTTATTGGAAGTTAATTATGTAAATACTTTCGTCGAGTGATTCTTTCATTGTTTATTATTTACAAGAGAAAATAATGACTATTCAAAATGCTTTTCCCGTTGCATTTATTAATTTGAGCTGTAATTGAAACACATATTATCGTCATCCCATGATAATATTACAATGATTTTTCCAAATAATCCAAAGCACGAAGTATTCGATAATATTTTATATAAATTGCCGATGATATTTGCCGAATTCGGATATTTATATAATTCTGATATATTTTATATTAACAAAAAAAAAAAAACAAAAAAATAAATAAATAAATAAATAACCCCGCGCGTATCCATATAAATGGCTACAAATTTAACGCGCAATTATTGTAAATTATTTAATTCTCATTTTAGTTCTCCTTGTTAAATATTTTATCACTCCGCACAATTACTATAATCCTGGCAATCACCTTTTTATCAGTTGCTGGCAGTCAATAAGATAATGACGAAGAACATAATTCAAATAACATTAAGTGACGATACATTCAAAATATAAATTCTTGTTCTGCCAAAAATTAAACTCCCGATTTCTCTAATATTGTTCCTAAACAATAATACACCGAGCGATTCAACGAAAATTATCGTATTAGAAATGCCAGGCAACGTCCCACGACAACATTAACATCTTTATCTGATACTGTGATAATACGTAAAATTCTTTATGGAAAGAAATAGAAATAATTTCCGTTACAACGAATAAATAAAGCACGAGATTTATTCAAGTCAAGTTAGCCTTTACCTAATTTCTACAGTTAGACTTGCGTTTATAAAATATTGTAAAATTTATGCAATTGGCATAAATAAAAATTATCCAAGCATTAAAGATACTCGGCAATACGGCAAACATGAGGCTTAACAAAATAATGTTTAACACGTCTGCTGCTTGTAAAATATTATTTGAAAAGTAGAATTACACTTGAACAGGAGTAACACTTAATAAACAATTCCGAGAATGATATACCGTAATTTTCTATTTTAAATTTAAAATGAAAAGTGATTTATATCTCGCATGACCTAGTGATTTATCTTCCTTGCCACGTTTTCAATTTTACAAAAGAATTTGTTATTTACATTTTTATGCGGTAAGAACATTGTTGTCCAATAATTTGAAAAAAGAAAAAAAATAATAATAATAATGTATGCAATGACATAGCCACTATATATGACATAATATCGAGAGAACGCAATCGTTGTTAGTATTTTTAAGCAACGCTATAACTTTAGACTTTTTTTTATTATTTTTGACTTTCTATCGTTTCGTCTCCCCTCTCGACTGCCCTCTTCCATAAATAAATCCACGTGCGCCTCGAGCAGCCGCTAATAATAAAAATGCCCATACGAAAGGACGTCAATTATAATCGTCGTCGATCCGCAATTAAAATTGACTTAATAATAATTGAGCGAGTCGCGTGTTATCGTTGTAACGACAAAACCTATCCTTTAATTAGGCAACTTTAACAAAGAAATTGTAAAGCCAGCCCACTTTTCCTGCATCACTATCTCACGGCATCTTGCATACTTAGGCAAGCACACCACGCAGATCCGACAGTAGAATATCCTTTAAAATAATCCTAATCGTTAAAGAACGGGAAGTCGTACTGAATAATATACGACGGCGGCGCCGCTCAAGTGGCCGTTTAATTTGTTACAGCCAATGTCAATGACGCATGGACCTTAAAATACACTAGCACGTGAATTATTGATTCGAACTTGTTAAGCCAAATGGTATCTGGCGTGTTAAGACAGCAAAGAATGTAAGATCCAAACCCTACCAATTGACCCCACCTATTGATTTTCTCTCGCGGGCTCTCTCTCTCTCTCTCTCTCTCTCTCTCTCTCTCTCTCTTACACACACACACTCTCATTCGGAACGATGAAAAATCCAAGAAATTGCATAAGGCCAAAGAGCTAAACTTACAATTCCCAAAGACTTACGCAATTGTTCGAGCAACTCAATACAGCATCTAACTCATAATATTATCTTTTCATGTTCTTATCTTGAAAAAAAAATTGAGCGACAAAAGTGCGTACTCCACGGTTTAAAGCACGTTTTTTTCCAAAATTCATTTCAATCAAAATATAACACTGTAGATTAGCGTAGCTAGAGACCGTGGAGAGACAGAGATAAAGGGAGTACGCGCGGACTCGTCAAAGAGAGAGAAAGAGAGATTGAGGGGGAGAGAAAGCGATTGAATGAGAGAGTGCGAGCGAGGGTGGGTATAGGGGAGGGGGGAGGGCAAAGGGCTGTGATGCGTGCGTGCGTGCGTGCGTGCGTGCGTGCGTGCGTGCGTGCGTGCGTGCGTGCGTCTATCGCCAAAGCTACCTGCCAAGGCAACTATGATTACCTTTTACAATATGTCCAATTGCCCAGGCCTTTGGCTTAATGACACTCTCTACTCCGGAGAAGACTATGTTCTCGTAAAACTTGTAACTCCCGCGATTAATCAGCGGCCGTACGTTCGCACGCTTTTCTCCAATTGTCGTTGCTTCTCCTCTCCCGATAATTACAATTTGCCCGTCCTCGCTAAACTCCTCCAAATTGCTAATCCTTTAGCGTTCGTTGCACCGTACATGTGTGACTAAGCCGCGAAACCGGTTCCCCGCGGTACCATGTTGTTGCGAAAAAAATCAGCCGCATTCTAGCGCAACGGTACTCCCATAGGCGCCCGCGCGCGCGCTCGCACACGTCACTCGGACCGAGGTGCGAGTGTCGTTATGCAAATGCCGAGTAAAATGTAAAAAAGATGATAAAAGGTGCAATAGCTACCTCTTCCGAGTCGCGCTCGGCCCCGTGCACAAGCAGACCACCAGTCGATCGGTGCGGCCCTCGAGTGCTCGGGAATCTGCTCGCACTAATGATAGTCGGCCAGGGCGGCTTTTGGGCGTAGCAGCGATGGTATCGGTGACGGTGATGGTGGCGGCGGCGACGATGGCAAGTTTCCGGTGGCTGGTGAACGTTGCCGCGATACGACCAAAGAAGCACACGAGTCGTGCCGATATTTCGGCGGACACTGAGTCGGCCCACGCGATGTTATACCGCTTTATAGACTGGCGGATGGGTGCGCGGGCGCGCGCGCGCGCTTCCACATGTGTACGCGCGCTCGTGTTTTGTCCGTAAGTGCGTGCCGGCAATATCGGAGCGAGGCTCGGTAGCATCTAGCCGTCTTTCAAAACGACAATCGCGCGGCGCTCCTTGTAGCCTCGGAGAGATAAGCGTCCGTGAGAATGGACGGCGGTGGGGGCGGAGCGGGTTGACCGTCGGCAAAATTTATCGCCGATTATCCTGCGACGACTACGGGATTGATTGAATGAGCGGTGCGCTCTTGAGGTTCCGCGGCACGGTTTCCGAACGAGGGCACCGATCATGGGAATCCGTCGCTGGTGACCTTGGTGCGCTAGGATCACTCGGATGATAGTTCCGCGATTAGTCTCGTCGGCATTGTCAATGGAAACTCGCGTTCATTTGGAAAAATGCGGCGAGGATTACGCGGCTTTGGCGGAGTTTGGTTGGCGGCGGAACAGTATGGGGCAACGACGGCCGTTGTAGTGAATCGCGACGCGACGATTGAAGGACATTTTAGCGAGGAGGTGGAAATGTCCTTAATGTGTGCACGGGCTGGAGAGTGTGTTGAGCAGGTGTTGAGACGTTGTGGGGGAAGGGGGGGCATTTTTGGTGGTTATTACGTGGTGGAGCGTGTGCATTTATTGGGTGTAGAGGGCTGGAGTTGAAGAGGAATCGAGTTCCTTAGTTGGTGGGTCCCCGAAATTTCTTGGATAATCGAGCTAATCGTGTAAACAAGTTGTTTTAGAGCTGTAACCGAGTCAAGTTGAACTCAATAACACCGGTGTTTATGTTACGTAGAGAAGACGAGAAGGTAAGATTTGGGTCTTCGTGTACAAGCAGAATGGTTTTTATGAATTTTGGCCTTAATCTACAGGTACTCACGCGTCTCACATGACCACGCACACATTCACATTATACAAAAATGCAAAAATATTTATGCACTGGGTTGTACAGATATGATTGATGCTCGATTTTGTTGCGATTCGCGAATACATGTGATATGTCGCGTGTGTTTGTCGTGTAAAAATGGGTGAGAAGATTGTTTTGTTGGGTGGGGGGTGGCGGGGGGCGGCGGCGAGGTTGAGTAATTTATAGTTAAGTATCATTCGTCGTATTGTGAGGTGCAAATAAATCGCGTAGTGGTGTTGATGGTATTGGTTAGGTTCTAATTAAATTATGATGGATTACGAGAAGTTGGATGTGCCTAATGGACGATGTGGATTTTCGCTTTCGTGGGTGTGAGATATATAGATATCATAGATAAAGTATTTGAGATCGATTTACCTTTACCTATCGATTCAATTGTGCGTATGTGATTTGAGAAGATATTTCGTTAGCTAGTGTACGTTAACTTGGATTGTGCGCTGTAAATTCTCCGCATTAAATTGTGTTATTTGATGTAACAACATAACGAGCGATGAAAGATTACGTACAGATAAATTATTATATTGTTTAAAATGATTACATTGGCTGAGTTGAACTTGGAGCGGTAACGATCCTCACAAATTAATGTATTCGGATACGTTTAATCGTTATGTTTGTGTTGATAAATTGTCTTTTTTTTTTTTTTTTTTTAAAGCAGTATGCTTGAATTTTATTCAGCTTGTCGGAGAATTTCAACGGATAACGGACTTTGAGCAATAAGGAGGGACGGGGGCGTGAGTCGATGACAGCCGAGTGAAGAGAGTGGGGCGAGGAGGGAATTGTGGTAGTAAGAATATTTTTTAAATAATGTTTTTTAACAATTTGTGAATTCTCAATTGTTCAAGTTCGTTTAAATGGACTCGAAAAGCAGAATTTGAAACATTAGATAGAAATTGCAAATGCAATCGATTGAACGTACAACATAAGATAATTCAATTGTTTTCCATTTACTAAATAGGCATTTAGCCATTTGAAGGACAAAATAAAATATTTCAAATGATTGTTTTATATTGGTATGGCTGTATAGAATTTGTGTAATTAACTTCAAGTTTGTAGATATTGTAAATAAAAACGGTGATAGAGAATTATTAATTAAAGGTGGTTAAGATTTACAGCACAAATGACGAAAGTAAGTGAGTACAGTTAATTTAATAATATGAAATTAATAATTAATTTAATCATATGAACGATCATTGCTCGAATAATATTTGGGATAATTAATTCATTTGTCATTAATAAGTGCCAGATAATTTTGAAAATAAAAATAATTAATGGCCTAGAATTTGACTGATTGCAAATACATTTGTGATTTTTGTTGGAAAATTTGTAATTTAAATACAAAAACTTATATATATCTATATATATAATAATAATAAATAAATAAACGGTAATTTATGTAAATGAGTAACTGCTCTTTTCAAGATCTTACGCATGCACGATCGCGCTTTCAAACAACTATAACATAAAAATATCAAATCTTTACAGCCAACATAGATATTTATTGCAAAATAAATTGTTCTTTTGTATATTTTAATAGACGAAATATTTCATATATCAATTGAGATGAATATTTTTGAATAAATACAGTTTATAAAATAAGTGCATCGATTATATCTCATTTTTCGTTATATGCCAAACATGCTTTTCAACTATTTATAAAAATGAATAAATTAATAAAATAAATAAATAAATAAAAAAAATATATATATATATATATATATATACGTTCCTTTGTTTAAATTACTTATTTATACTAATTTATCAAGTATTGGTATCTTGATTTTTTCTACTTATGCAAATTTGTTGCATTAAGACTTTTACAATTTAAATTTCGCCTGTATATCTCTTTCTGTACTAGAAATTTATGTAATGAATGAAAAAAAAAAATATATATCGATACATGTAATATTATTTTTTACTCTAGAGGTATAATGTTTTACTTAAATCAAACTACTCGTTTATACTTGACAAAGTTTTTCCTCATGAAATAATTAAACATTTTAGTATCAATGAGACAAGACAAAAGCACAAGTGTTTGAAAAATTTTCAATAATTTTATATGACATTTTGTTAAAAGTAACATTCATATAATAAAATAAAGTAGTTCTTATAATATTTTAGTAGAATATAGTTGTTTTATTTGCAAAAGAACATTTTTTATGCATACGTTGCAGAAATTTTATCTTACTTTGTAGCAATAATGGCCCAATTTCTTGGGGATAATAGTGGATCAAAAAGTTGTACTACTTCCAGTTTCGTACAAATATTAAATTTGTGTATAAATAAAATCTTATCTAAAATAATGGCTGCTTCTACAACAGGCGCTAACTGTATTCTTAATAGCTGGAAAATATTAAATTTCCATTTGTAATCTTTAAATTCTTCGTAAGTTTTTTCCAGTATCTCGTCCGTAGGTACCTATGTGATTATATAACGTAAATCAGTAAAAATATTTTTCTTGTTATAAGAATATTTGTTAATTTTCATGAAAACGTTATTATAGAAGCTTATTCCAAGTCATCATGAAAATTTGAATAAAAGAGCAATAATATTTATTAGCTTCATAATATAAATAATTAAAAATAAATACCTCTTTTGCATTAACTTTTTTTAAAGCCCATTTAGCATAAATTAGGAAGTTATCTAATGGCGCTCCACGTCCAATAGTAGTATTTTTAATTCCTATTTGACACGATTACAAATTAAAATTATAAAAAAATTAAATATGTCTTTTAAAATGTATGTAAATCATACCTAATAATCGAAAAACAACTTGTAATACAGCTCTATAAAACAGCGATGGTGATAAAAATTCATTTTTATGATTTATTCTGTCTGTAGATTGCTGAGCCAACATTCTTGAATTTTTTGAAAATTCATATAGACTTGAAAGTGATTTTGATGTAAAATGATAACAACAAGGAACTATGCATAGGCATCTTATATCACTGACATTTAAAAATGATTTTATCACAGAATCAGTAAGGGATCCACAGGCATGTAGAGCGGTCATAACTAGCTCTCTTTGCGGATGTAAATTTGGAAAATAATTCTTAACCAGCTGCACAAAATCCGTTGTCTCGTCGATCTGCTCCACTGCATAATTAATCTGAAAACAAAATAATGTTTCAAACTATTTTCATAATCGAATGAATTTCTATTCAGTTATATGAAACTTGTAAATAGTAGGTGTAATAGTTAAAAAGTGAAAATAGTACTTGGTAATATATTGAAGTTAATTTGTTATTTAGAAATATATTTAGATAATAGAAACGTTTGTGTACACCCTTACCAAAGATGTAGAACGTTTATTCTTCTTATTTACAAGACTCCGATGAAGAATTGCACTGTTATGATTGATTAGCGAACATTCAATGCACAATACAGGTAAATTATAATAATTTGATAAATATAAAGAAGAATAGCCTTTCCCAGCACCTGCATCGATAATAACGCTTGATTTGTTCTGATTAAGCCATACAATTGTCTTTGTAAACACATCAACCTCGTGACACTTCTTAACTTTCATGAATTCAGACGGAATAGTCTTATAAACTTTAGCGTTCTCATAGTTAAGAACATTTAAAAAATCACACCGTGTTATAATATTTTGGCAGCTTTCTAATTTGAGCGCTTTAACGTTTCTTAAAAATGTATATAATTTTGAGTCTTCGTGCTTGGTTAATTCGTTAAACTGTTCGATCTTTCTAAAAATATTATTGCCATTTGTTTCTAAATATAATTTAAAATCTCTTGGTAAACAATTTTCCCATAAGTCTTCGGTTAAAAAGTCAACCAAATGACAATCTATCAATTTTTCATACAATTTTAGAAAATTTATCACTTTTAAAAAATGTTCTTCGTAATTAGACATTTTTAAAAATCTTAATATATTTTATACGTTAAAATTCAAGCTTATTATTCTCAGGATGCGCGGAATCTATTTTAACTAACGAACAAATTTTCTTAAAATTTAATTTAATATTTTCGAATTTTTCAAAGATATCAACTGCATCATCATTATCAACAGGAAACTTCTGTATATCCTCTATCAATCTATCTAATTGTTCAGTAAGTTTTTGATTATTAGATGTCTGTTGTATATGTATTAAAACACCATAATAATATCCTAATTGCGCTGCAAGTGCACTGGCTCTGTGATATCCAAAATGATATCCTTCGATCATTTGATTTTTACCAGATGCAAATCCTTCTTCATAACCTACTTTTTCAGCTAAATCTTCGGCGAGTAATAAGTTTTCGAATGCCTTATTGATATCAATGTCCTGCTTATCATCCGACATATTTAAAACTGTAAAAAAGAATTATAGTATGTAAAAATCTTTTTGATTAAATTGTACATTATCATCTATAAACCTACAACATAAAAAAGTTGCAACTTTACCAATAAACATCCTAATTAATAACATCCTAATGAGTCACTATCCGATGTTAGCAAGAACAATTATCATTTGAATAATATTAATAATAATAATAATAATAATAATTGATTTATATTACCTTTTATTCATTTATTTCTCAAAAAATTTTTAAATTAAAACTTGAGCAACGAAAAAAAGTAAACTTAATTCTCCTATCCGTTTATCTCAAACAAAAAGCTTGTAAATCTTAATTATGAACAGATCTCTTCACGTCACAAACTCACATATTTTAAGCACAAATATTTTATTGATATTTATATTAAGGAGAATATTAAAAGCGCCTTTCATGTATTTTTTTGAGAACACTAGATACACGATCATCTATGATGCGTAAATAAAGATAAATCTGTTGCATTAGTAGCAGGGCGGCACGTTAGATTTTTATTCTATTATTTACAAAAAATTGATATAATATTGTATTAATTTCTTTCGTGTGTACACATTAAGATATTATAAAGTTAATTAAAAATCGTAAATAAATTTTAATTCGCATGAATTTTAAATATTTATTTACCTATGCTTACTTATAGATTATTTTATTACCATTCTCGTTTACGAATGGATAATAAAGGATTACTTGAACAAGCCCTCGATTATCTGTCAGAAATGATTTTTCATTTTATTTGAAGCACCACTTCGGCTATTGTTGTCGCAATTTTTTTGTTTCTTCCTTCAACTTATTCGCTGCCAATTGACACTGTGTACGTATATGTCAGTTTACGTAACATGACGGTAATGCTGACATCAATCTATCCAACAGTCAATTATATTATTGACCACGTGGTCGATTCACAATTATTTTGTAATAATAATATCGAGGGTTTTGGTGGCAGGGGAATCGAAAATAAAATGAACTTTTTCATATATTATTATAACATATTTATGTTCTTAAATATTAATAAATCAAATGAATATAAGGTTTAAAATATGATATGTAAGAAAATATAAAAATGGATTTTACCACTGATGCGTCAAATCATGTAAGTTTATTTTCATTTGTCTAACCTTATAATGAATAAAGAAACTTGACTTTGGTGACTTTTTTAATTGGTTTTTTTTAATTTCATTGCATTCATTGCATTAAAATTTTTAATGCATTTTTATGTAAATCAGTTATTAATTATTAGTAACATTTTTTACACTTAAATACGAGTTTTTTTAATGGTGTTAAAAAAGGCGTTTAACTTATTTTTTTAAATTGCAGAATGAATCCTTTACATATAGCAGTGACAGTAATAATGATAGCGACATCGAATCTCGGCTATATGCTGAAATTCACTTCGCAAATATTATTGACGGTGATAATGATTTGATTGAATCCGCAGTCGATAATGAGTTGACACAAATTTCAGAAATTACCTCGTACAATTCAAGCGATATCAATACTTTCATAACCGGTCGAGAAAATTTGAATCACTTTGAACAAACTGAAAGTGGCGATGCTGAAACATTTAATAATCTTAATGAAAAATCATCGATTTATTTTGAAAGACATTTTAAACGTGCCAATATCATGGATGAAGTAGATATTTCAAGTGTTCCAGCAGAAAGCAGTTTGAATAAATCATCAAATATTGTACCCAATATAAATACTTTAAGTAATTTAAAAAAAATGAAAAAATCCAATAAAAGATCGGCAATTGATAATAGCTCTAACAAGTCAATTGAATCGTATAATAAGAAATCTAAATATACTGATAAGAGTATAAATAGCAGTGATAGAAAAAACAAAGAAGTGATTCCAAGTTATTTATTAAATGATTTGGATATTTCAACTATAAATCGTTTAAGAGAGCATATAAAAAAAAATAAGTTACAACAAGGTAAGACAAAAATGAAAATGCTTAATCCCTTTCATGGTAAGTCTGCAGACTTTGCACAACTTATGGATCCAGAATTTTTAAACTTATTGCACGGCAAAAAATTACGATTGGCAAAAAAAGCAAAAAATAGAAAGTTAAAAAAAACAATTTCCAAATCAATTGTGGAGAATGTATCCAATATAACGACTGACACTAATATACCACTAATTGAAATAGTTGACAATGGCGATAAAAAAATACTTGAAAATGATGACGATACTACTAGTCAAAAGAATAATACAGAAGCTACTGGAAATAATATTGAGCAGCGTAATTCACTTAATATTTCAGAAATTATTGATATAAGTTCAGAATCATCGAGCGATTCTAAAGAAGATAATTTTAAATACACAAGTGTAGCAACGGAGAAGAAACTTCAAGCAAAGAATATTGTAATAAATGATAATTCAGAAGAATCGACATCCGATTGTCAATCAATTTTTGAAATTCCGGTATCCCCTAAGCCAACTCCACCTGTGATTGTATTAAAAGATTCTGATAATGAAAGCAGAAAATCACTAATTATTCGTGAAGTTGAAAGTCCAACCAGAGGAGAAGATTTTCTACATAGCCCCAATAATACAGTTAGTAATAAATTGAGCGTTGATTCTGAAAGCGATTCGGTTAGTGATATGATTTTAAATTGTTCAGAAATCGAACCACACGTTTCCAATTTAAGTGAAATTAAAAAGCTAAACAAATTATCGAATTTGAGAGAATGTGACGGAGGAAGGAATGTTATTGAAGCAGATGTTACAATACTAGAGGATTCTATTAACAGTCATGCGAGTACTATTGTAAGCTCGGTTATTAAAGAGAGTAATTCGAATGGCTCTAACAATGCCGAGGTTGCATCAACTAACAATGAAACAAACAATTTAAATGAGAAGCAGAAAAATAAGGATGATCATAGCCACAAAAATATTTCAATGGAAGAATACTTTTTTCAACCCATGACCAATGAAATGAGAACGTTTTACAATAAATCATGGGGGGGTGAGCAGTTTGACATTAAAAAATTGAAAAGTCAAATGTCGCGTAAGATTATTAGTAAAATACTATTTTAAACGCATATAAATAATGAATATATTCGTTATAACATATTTTTAATACTTTTCAGCTGATCCAAATAATTGGGCAGTATTAAAAGATGATGTAATAAATAACGTTTCTCACGCTCGACGATACTTTGGTAAAGTTTGCAATAATTGCAGAAAACCAGGACACAAGCAATACAATTGTCCCGAAGCATATAAAGTAATAATTTGCCACATGTGTGGCGGTAGTGGTCATCTTGATACTAGTTGTCAGAACAAAATATGTTTAACGGTAATTATATAAAAAGTCTATATTACTAGAAGTTAAAAATTTTATGTAATTATGAAATCATTAAAAATTCAATGCCTCATCTAGTGGAATTAAAATCTATCGAGATGATAATTCGTCTGTTTACTAATAAAGTTGACTAATCGTCGATTAATAAATAAAAATAAATGCTGATAAAACAAATTTTATTTTAGTGTGGAAAGAAACAGAATATGTACAAAAAAACATGCCAGTACTGTAGGAATTTGGTTTGCTCGAGATGTGATTCGCAGGGTCACTTATCGAATACTTGCCCAGATCTTTGGCGTCGCTATCACCAAACTGTAAAGAATGCAATTTATAATTTAATCAATTTATCAAATACAAAACTACAAATGAAAATTAATATAGTCGCGATTCTTTGTAGATAAGTGATGGTGCAAAAATTCCTAAAAATTTATGCAACGTTATGAAACCTGAAAAAGAATTATACTGTTGCAATTGTGCGCGAAAGGGTCACAATTCGATAAATTGCAGGAAACGTCATTGGTCTCAACATTTCCAAAATCCACCTTACGTATCGAGTTACGGTGGTCCAAATTATACTCTACAATCTGATTCCTCCTCTTGTCCAGATGATGTGTGCGACAGAGTAAATTTAAGCTCCACCCTCGATAATTCGGACACTGAATTTGGTAGCGACAATGCAGATAATTTAAGCACAATCTGCCAGGGTGGCAATAATAAAAAAAGGAAGAATGCACAAGCGAAGCAAAATTTGTCCAAAGATAATACAGCAGAGACTAAGGAGAATGTAAACATTAGAATTAAATCTCCTGACATGGGCAACGGTAATAATAATCCATCATTTAAAACACTGCATTTAAAATATTACATTTCTCCTAAAAGTCAATCAAATAAGCTTAAGAATTTGCAAGTGCTATTGGATTTCATAAATACAATAAAGCATAATATGCAAATTGATTTTTTGCTCAAACAAAATAACAAACAAATTAACATAAATATTAATTGTTCGTGCTATCTCGCCTTTGCGTTAAAACATCTAGTTTCTCAATTTATTGATCGTAATACTTTTGAAAGATCGCATATATATTTGAACTGTGATAGGGATGCAAATACGATACTGAATCATCTATCTGCTAAAATTATTGAAATGAACAATGTAACCGAATGCCCATTCGAGCTTTATGAAAAGACTCAACAATTAAGTAAGGAAATGGGCCATGAAAATTATTGGGACAATGATCTGCGACACTCATTACAATGTAGTGAATTGTCTCGTTGTCACCAAAAATTATTAATGATCATATATAGAGAAGGATTTGGTGGTAATTCCTTGAAAAACTTGCTAAAAGTGAAAGACAAGATAAGGTTCAAGATGCAAGGACAGGCAAAGAAAACGAATAAATTGATTTCATTTAATTGTTTGTTTACATATTTATATAACTACAATAATGTTTTCGTACCGCATAGGCCAAAAAATTTACCGACTTTAATGAATCTTTATAAAGAGCGTATTGACATGTGTAATAGAATTGCAAACGATCGAAGTGTGTTTGTAAGGCAAGCAGTGGGATCGGATAGAGACTTTACCAGTACAACTACACAAGAGAAATTAGATAATTATGTAATTGCAACAAATAATTCGTCGCAGCCTTCGATGGAAGAATTACAGCCCGCAAGCACTTATACGAGGAGCATAACCGCGAGTGATACAATTTTCCCAACCGTTAGTTCGGAAACTCTGCGAATCGAGAATCATACGAAAGAAAATGTAAAGAGAAGGAAAAAAGCGAAGAATCTTAATACGTTTTATAAATTGTCAAAAAGTTGCAGAGATGTGAATAAGAAAAAAAAATTTAAAACAATGTTTGAAACATTTATTGCAAGGACTAAGCTTCTAATCGATACTGCGAGTAAATTAGATGCACCAAATATACAGAATGAAATTTTTATTTTACAAAATAAAATGAAGGACGAATCGTACGTTACAGTGAAAGACGTCAAGCCACTGAAGAAATTAGTGAACAGGCTAAAGCAAAATAAGTAAAAGTATCCAAACGCAAATGATATATATATATATATATATATAGTACGAGAAAAACAATGAAAAAAAAAGGGTTGCGACGGATTGTATATTATTAACATTTATTTTGTAATGTTACTTTATAAGTACTTTTGTAAAAACTTCTGTTAAAAATAAATTTATAAAATGTTATAAGAAATTTAAGACTACATTTATACTAATGACAATTTCTTTATTAATTACACACGACAATTTTGTTTGAATAATCGCCTCCAAAAAGTATTCAAACAATAAAAAATATATTTACACATTAAGAGGCAGCTTCATTATAATTTTATATATGTATGTTCATTTACACGAAAGCAATAAGTTTTTATTTCTTAATCGATTGCGGCCCACTCAACACTTGAGGCGGAGGTCCCGGAGGTCTCATAGGACCCATTGGCCCTAGCATCGGCCCCATTGGTCCCATGGGGCCCATAGGCCCCATCATCGGTGGTCTGACACCCATCATCGGTGGCATTGGCCCGTGCGGCCCCATCATCATTGGTCCGCCTGGTCCCATTGGACCACCCGGATGCATTCCTGGTGGTGCCATCATTCCTGTTAATGGACAGTTTTTTTTTATTATATAAAATTAACGTATTCAACGAGATAAATGCGCGGATACTTTTCTAGTCTACATAACGTTAATATACAATATAAACCGAATTTAACACTAATTATCATTTTAAATTTTCATCACCTAGCTGTTAACTATTATTCCTCGTTACCTGATAATCCAAATGTAAATATTAAATTGCTATACAAGCAACAATAACTTACGTATGTATTTGGCAAGAGGATAATAATGCAAAGGCATTCGTGCTTACCTGGAGGTCCTTGGTTTGGTGGCGGTACACCAGGTCGTGGACCTAAACTTGGCGGTGGCGGTATCGCAGCACCTTTATTCGGTGCAAACGGATTTGACGCTATTTTTCCTGCCTTAAATGCAGCTGTCGTCGCATCAATTAAATGCTGAGCTTGTTCTTCCATCCATTTTTGATAAAAGTACTTGACATTGTCTTTGTGTTTGCGCCCTTGGCAATGAGTTTTACGTACGCTTGGAGAATCGTGCGTTAAATATGTATCGCAGTAGTCGCAATAATACTTTGGCATTATAGAGATTTGGATACTACACCTGAAATTATATTATAAGAACTTTTTAATTTGAGACGTTTCGCCGTGTACTGGCAAATCACAAAGCAACATCACAAGCACTAACGTAATAATTTATTTATTTAGGTTATACGCCGAACGCGTCCCGAGGATTACCGTTTCTGACTACCCCGCCAAACATACAATTATTACTCACACTAGATTGATGTATGTACCAAGATAATAAATTATTTATGCACTAATTGTTGGATGCGCCGATGCGAGGGTATAAATACGCCGTCAACGAATGCATTTAACAACCCTACAAACTGTTTGCCCACCCTAACCAACAACTTACGTCGCTCACTAATAGCTGCATTTGCGCACAGGAAATAGTAATGGAATGCACCGTTTAATGTTGAAAGTGGGGGGAACTTTTGGGCCTAATATTAATGGAGAGCGTAACTTCCGTAAATTCATCCCTCCAATCAGCAACGACGATGCCGACTATAAGCGCTAACGGCCTTGAGATAGGTCCCTCGCTATTCCAAACATTTATATTTTAATGTATAAATAAGTAGCCCGACATATTCCTGAACATTGCATTGTCAGTTTTAAACCGTACATCATTATCGAGGCCTTAAATTCATAAATGATAATGAGACGCGAAAGCCAGCTTTGATTTCGGAAAATCAGCTTCTCGCGCACGCGCGCGCGCACACGAATGCACACATGGGCACATGTAAACATGCGCACACGCTTGCACGAAACGCGCGCGCGTCCGTGTATAAATTATAAGCGCGCAGGCAGTCGTGGAGCCAATCGGAACGGGCGGGCATCCAGTGCTGCCGAGATCTTAGATCGTAGCCCCTCCACATTAGCAGGAAAAGTCAAGAAGGAAAAGTTTAATTCGCGCCCAACCGAATGGACGCCGCGGCAATGAAAGCTAGCTTTGAGGATCCCTGAGGAAAAGAAAGGAGAGTCGAGAGAGGAAAACTCGGCGAAAGGAACTCGTACACGAGCTGTCATGGCTGACTCAGAGTGAGGGATATATTTTTCGCATACCGACCGTGGCGAAAACAATAAGCGCGCAGTCTAGTATGCGATGAGGCTGCGGTCAAGGGAATAATAAGCGCGGACTTTCACAGTGGACAACGGAAGAGGATTACGATTTCGAACCTCCGCTCTAGCTATCCGTTACTCATAAATCTCGTTATCGATAAACGAGGAAGTGTGCGTTGAAGAATCGAGTGTAAGGGGAGTTCTCCTTATGTCTGTCATCGTGGGCTCGAGGCTTCATAAAGGATAACGAATTTTTCGTTATTGTGATTTCTGTAAACAACTGTAAAATGATGATGGGCTTAACCTTCGGTGAGTTCTGCTCTCTCTTTTGTTGTCCACCGTGCCCGTCGAGAATCGCGGCGAAGGTGGCGTTTTTGCCACCCGAGCCCACCTACACTTTCCTCGAGGCCGAGGGCTCAAAGTATACGATCTCGCTGTCCGAGAGGGCCGAGTGGGAATATACGGAGAGGGAGAAGGAGTCGGTCGAGGGATTTTATACCAGAACTTCCAGAGGGAATCGCATAGCCTGTCTGTTTGTCAGATGCTCGGCCACTGCCAGGTTTACCATACTCTTTTCTCATGGGAACGCCGTTGATTTGGGTCAAATGAGCAGCTTTTATTTGGGCCTCGGCTCGAGAATCAATTGCAATATATTTAGTTACGATTACTCAGGATACGGTGTCTCTAGTGGCAAGCCATCGGAGAAAAATTTGTACGCCGACATAGATGCTGCTTGGCACGCCCTAAGAACTCGATACGGGATCAGTCCGGAGAATATTATTTTGTATGGCCAGAGTATTGGCACCGTGCCGACGGTCGATCTAGCATCTAGATACGAAGTGGGAGCCGTGGTTCTGCATTCGGCTCTCATGTCTGGCTTGAGAGTTGCATTTCCCAATACAAAGAGAACATGGTTTTTCGACCCTTTCCCCAGGTTAGTCCTTGGTAATGGATAATCAATGTCTTGGCTTTAAAAATTTTGGATAAAAATGACAACGATAAGGATAGTCACGATAAGAGAATGTAGATTTAAAGGGAAAGTGAATATCGATAGCCAATATTGTACATATATACCGCTTTACAAGGTAATCTATTTACGTGTGGATATTGATAATTTGTTCCAATGTCTTGTTAACGCTCGCGATACATAATTCCTTATCTAGACTATTTTTATCGTTTCAAATTATTGAGATAATTTTAGCACACTTGCTTTAAACTTTTAAATTTTCCAATAGTTCTCGTGCTCCAAATAAAAGTGAATAGCATCTTATCTTAAATAACGTAAGTGTAGCTCTTAGCTAGCGAATGTCATTACCGTCGATAAACACTCTAGTGCAATAAAGTTACATAACAATGAAACTATTATTATAACGTGCTCTTCTTTATAAAGTCTGTTTAACGATGAGAGAAAGTCATTCTTGTCAGAGACAGTGATTTAGTAATGAGAGAAATAAATATTGCGATTTGAATAATGTAACATTGTTGTCATTGTTTATTGATTGCTTTATTTTCAATTGATACAAACTCTATGTATATAGAGAAATACTATATGCTATTACTCTTGGCTTTAGCTACTAATTGCACTTGAAGTTTATTTAAAGCTCGTAGAGGTTGGCAAAATTTTTTTAATATAAATTTTTATACATTTATACTTTGTAGCGAACCAAGCATTTCATTCTATAGTTTATATACACGATTGATTTCTCCTCTTGGATATATATTGTAGAAACGTGTCAAACAATTCTTAGCAAATAGCAAATGTCATTCTCTTAAGGTTCATACAAACAGTTCAGAGTCATAAAAAGAAATGGTTTCTATAAAACTTTCTAATACATTTCTATTCATTTTTCATCAAATACAGAAATCCATGCCATTACATAGCTATCGAGTCTTTATTTACTCATTGTCTTTATAACAATATATTTTTAATTTTTAGCATTGATAAAGTGCCGAAAGTTACATCACCTGTACTAATGATTCATGGAACAGATGACGAAGTCATAAATTTCAGTCATGGTTTGGCTATCTACGAAAGGTGCCCGTTAACTGTCGAACCCTTATGGGTCGAGGTAATAATTGTGATATTGTTAATTTTAAGTCGGATATACCGTAACCATACAATACAATACATTTTTTATTAAAAATACCTTATTGATACAAGGCCTATACTATAAAATCTAAGAATGCTTTTTTAATCGCAATAACACATTGCTCTTTGAATAAAATAAAATGGCATAATATACAAACGTACGACAACTGTTGCTTTTCTATTTAGCCCATTGTGAGAGAATTTATACACTCAGCAACATTGGCTGTTAAAATTTTAAGATTAGACCATTATCGTTTAATGACAAATTCTTAAACCATTCGTGTATAAATATCTTTTAGTAGCAATCGTTGCTTTATTCATGCTTATAGCGAAGCTAAAATCTTGAAGATAATTTATTGATATATAACAGAACGTTGCGCGTTCTGCTAAATATGGAGAGCATTATTTTTCCTCCCATTTCATACCTTAAAATCAATGTTCTATTGACTTAAAAGCATTTTGCTTTGAATATGCAGAAATGCATCTATAACAGTGCACGCGAAGATCTCTTATCAAAAGTACGGAGAAGAAAAAACAAATAACTCGTGAGAGCTATTGTCACAAGCAATTGACGAGTGTCATCAATGATCCGCAAATAATAAGTTTCTAATTAATTAATTGACGTTGTATGTCTCTAGTGTTGAAATTTAATTCAATTGATTTTTAATTCGAACGGAAAAGTAAAGGAGAAGCTATAAGATGAAATTTCAAATTTTAAACGACATATTAATCTTTGGAGACTGATTTATCTTACTGATGTGAAAATGTGATGTAGATGAGCCAGCAGAAAAATTCATGCGATATTAATAAGATAATGCAGCAGAATTAAAATTCTTGAAATTTGTAGGGCGCCGGTCACAACGATGTCGAGCTGTACAATCAATACTTGGAGCGACTTAAGCGGTTCGTGAGCGTGGAGCTGGTGAACTGACGGCGACTGAGCCTCTCCCAGGGCCAGGGAGGTGGAGGCGGTACACCGGCACAACAATCCAATAACGGTAACAAGCAACTTCAGCAGCAGCAACAACAGCAGCAGCAGCAACAACAACAACAACAACAACAGCAGCAGCCACAACAACAACAACAACAACAACAACAACAGCGTCGTCACGGGGACTCGATATCCAGTGGGTCGAGTATCGGCTCGACGATCTCGAGTCCAAGCTCGGAGGGTATGGCCCCGTCGCTCTTGTCCACGTTCACCAAGAAGACAAACATGCCGTCGCGTTGTTCGCTGAACGGCGAGGCCGATGCCGTTGATAAAGGGACACCAGAGGTACCCGCCAAATCCAAGTCGGATACCAAGTCGGAGAAGAAAAGAAAATGCGGCGGCAAGACCGTCTCGAGTTTGTGTTCGGAGGGCCTCATGCGTCCGATCCTGTCACCGACCAGGAAGAAGACGAGCCTCCCACAGCGTTCTTTCAATGGCGAGACGCAATCGGCCAACGAGGGTAGCAGTTGCCTCGAAGAGCGAGTCAAATCGAAATTGGAGAAGAAGGAGAAGAGCAGCGGCAAGAAGTCGTCGAGCCTGAGCTCCGAGGGGCCGGTGAGGCCGACGTTATCACCGTCCAGGATTAATGCCAGTCTAGCGCCACGTGCTCTAAACGGCGATGCCGATTCCGCCAACGAGGAGATCTTCAAGGAGCGCCTCAAGCCCTCAAATTCGGAGCGAAAGAGTATCTTGAGCAATTCGGGGATGAAGGAGTCGCTGGCCGCGTTTAGCAAACGGGAGCTCTCCCCGTGCGAGGGCAGGGAACGCAGCCTCGACTGTCCGAGCGCGAGGTTACACTCCTCCGTGCCTTCGCTCTCCGTTAAGGATGGCGAGCAAGGCCACCGGCGACGTAAGAAACCGTTGGTCAGCGGACCGATTGGCGCTGAGAAGAAGTGCACGGAGCGACAGGCGCTCGAGGTCGCCAGCGACGAGAAAAGATCCCTCCCGGAGAGTAGAAACAAGTTCACCTGGTGCGGCAGCTGCAAGAGCTCGAAGGCCTCGGCGATGCCGGCCAAGAGCAAGCGCACTTCCTCGACGAGTCCTCTGAAGAAGCTTAGCCGTTCGGGCCTGACGACGGACGCCGCGGACGGCAGTAAAATCGCCCTCAATCTGTCAAAGTATTCGCCGTGCGCCTCGCGGCTCGCCGCCAGCTCCAAGATCCTCTCGAGCGACTCGCTCGGGGGCACGAGTCCCGAGAGTCCGCTGCACGTCGGCCGCTCGCGTAGTCCCGCGGCTCCAAGCCCCTCCCTTGGTGTCCAAAGGCTGGAGCATCCGGTGCAGCGAAGCAAGAGCGCGAGCGGCCCGGAGAGCTGCTTGACCTCGCCGGCGAGTGAAGCGACGAACCTCAGCTGCTCGCCCCCCGGCCCCGACGAGGTTGACGACGAGGTCGTGAACAAAGACAAGGACGAGAGGGAGGAGGAGGAGGAGGGAACGCTCGAGGCTCAGTCGGCTCCGAGGGCCGTGGCTCCGGCCTCGATGATCGAGCTCGGACACGAATGCGAGCGCCTGGGTGCGGCTCATCGGAGTCCCCGCTGAGAGTCGTGCCCAAGGTGACCCGGGGAGGCTGTGCTGCGCGGGCGCGCGCGCTCTCGATGACCCTGTGCCAGTGACGAGGATATAGGAGGATAAGGAAGGGGGGATGCTACAAGTTGGCGAGCGGGGGCCGCGTCTAAGCGCCCGTTTCTAAGCTTTTATTATTGGTGATGAAGATTTTAATTAGCGATTAAGAGTGAGGATCGAGGGACGAAGGGATTGGGAACGAGAAGACGAGTAAGTGGTCGGGAGAGGGCGCTAATGGGGGAGAGACCGAGAGTCTAGAGGGGATGTTCCGAGTCGCCGCCACGACTGCGGGGATTTCTTTCCTTGTGCGTGGAATTTTTCGTCTGGCCGATAAAGAATGACGAGCCTGCATTGTGAAGCGGTTGCGCGCCATGAATTTTATGTGACGTCGACAATTTTCTCGACGACGTTGCTGCACCAATGTTTTTTTTTTCTTTCCAAACGTCAGACGTTGTAGACGAAAACTTGCGAAAGTGTCCCGTACCTTTCCTTTTTTCTTTCTTCTTTTTCTTTTTTCTTTCTTTTACTTTCCACGTTTACATTACATAGAATATTGTTTCTTATATTTCCAATGAATATAAAGCATGTTGAAGTATTGCTTATAAGGCTTATTTATAATTGCTTTTTTATCATTGAAACGAAGATCTTGTTTATAAAACGTTTCCCGAAGAAGTCTGTATTGTATATTATTGAGTAATTTTTGATCAAATTATTATAAATGATTGGAAAATTCGTATGCAAAGTACGGGATATTCTTAATGGTTTATCTTTGTATGCATTTAAAATTTTGTATTATTGGATATTAATTTCTCGTTATTAGCTATTTAGAGTTTAGAATTGATTTGTTTCTAATATGTTGAATATGATTTATGAAAACAATGCACTACGTTGTGTTATTTCCGAAGGCTCGTTAAATCGTCTTTCACGAATGTGAACCATTTTTATGAAAACATTTGATACTACTAAAGCCGTGAATAATAAGTTTTTTCGGCTAGATATATTTGCATATGGTTCGAGTTTTTAAATAGGGAGAGGGGGGTTAAGAGAGAGAGAGAGAGAGAGAGAGAGAGAGAGAGCGAGCGACATTGAGAGAGTGAATGAGTGAGAGTGAAGAAGTGAGGGATGGTGAGAGGTGGAAGTGAAAAAAGCGGTTGGCAAAGAGACATAGAGAAAAAGAGAGCAAGAGAGAGCGAGAAAGAGAGAGAGAGAGAGAGAGAAAGAGAAAGTACAAAAATACGAATTCCGTTAAATCGTTTTTCCACTTTTTTATACACGTGCGTAAATTATCATTTATAATTCTATGAACGAAGGAAAAAATCCCAGTCGATACGATTTATCCATGTTGGACTTAATGTGGAATATTGTTACGATATAAAACATAGATAAAACAAAACAAACAAACAAACAAAAAAAAACAAAAAAAAAATGTTGAGTATTATTACAAAATTAGACAATCGATTGACTTGCGTGTAATGAGATCTTTTGGTCGCGCCAAAGTCGAGTTTCTTGACTGTCGCGACACTGTGATGTTCCGATCTTTGATATTTTGCAAGATGCATATTTGCATCGCATAAAAATGGTATTTCTTCATTTATTTCTTTGCAAACGGTAAATATATGTTAACTACTATGTGGGAACCCAAGAATGGGCCAAGCGATCGCCGAATTATACACACATCGATTATCTTCGGCTATTTCGGGCGCAGCAGCCAGGTTGTCGTCACCACTCATCGACATGTGACTACGCGTGTTGTGATATATCGCATTCTGTCGTAATCATACCGCACGTCCGTCTTGGACCATCGTTTTGCCAAATCCGTACAAATAGTCATTTAAAAAGCCTCGGGCGATCGAGTACCTTCACTCTGTCAATCGATAGGCGACATCTCGTTTGTAATTTGGTCGCTTGCAGCGATGCAATGTCGCAACAATACGTAAAAGAGCCGATCCAGGAACCAGCTATCCAGTTTGCGCGTACGTGGCAAATCCTAATCCATACGTTCCGTGCTCGGGGTTGGTAATGACGCAAACATATCGTTCGACGGGGAAGTGGCATTCGCAACGCAATAATATAAGCGTCCGAGGCTTACCGATGCAAGGACTTTTTTTTTTTTTTTTTATTTATTTATTTTTTTTTTAAGGACAAAGTAATTAGGGCCAGTCGCTGCTTGTTACGAGAGAAGGCTTGGGATTTTTAGGGGATTTTCAACCAATATCGTGTGTGCGAATTATGTTTCTGTCGAAACGATTTTGAGAGTGGAGGAGAAGGACAAGTGCGATGGGAAAGACGTCAAGAGCGCCGATGCGATGGCAGTCCGATGCTCGTACGCCCTAATTTTGGATCTCCACAACTACATTTACCGATTTATACAAGTCCAATATAAAAGAAATTCACATTTGCAACAAAAGTGCCAAAGAACACTGACTAGATACTCGATGATTTTGTCATTGTTGCCTTTCTAAATGCGGGAAAATCTTCCATCTTTACTTTCACTTAAGACTAATGGAGAGAGTTAACGGGGTGTCAATCATCTTGGAGGAAAGTTGTTGTACGAACGAAGAAAGATAATTTATAAGAACACAGCCATACTCTCGGATCAGAGAACATTTCTTTGTTTTCTTCAATTTTTTGTTTCTCTATTCATTTTTCTTAATACTATTATTTTTTATACACGTACACGTATGCGCGCGCACACACGCACGCACGTATATATTTTATGCGTTTGCGTGTGCGTGCGTGCGCGCGCCCGCGTTCATACTTAAACGTATACATATACATATACATATGCATATACATATGCATATGTATATGCATATATTATGCAACAGACATTGTTCGTAAATTATCCATTTAATAAAAGTGACATACACCACACGTTATGTTATGCGCCAAGTTTTTTTATTCCATACAAATATTGTGTTGGTCATTTTTGACATTTTTGATAATAAACACATAAGCAAAAGCATAAAGTATTCATAGTGTAGTAAAAAGAGGCGTTTCACATTTTCATTGCAATTCGCCCAATGTTGACATAAGCAATACGTATATTTTTTACCAAACAAAGGGAGAGAGGAAAATAATAATTGACGGTTCATCAAAATTTCAAGATGCAATCTGAAATCGCGCTCCTGTACAAGATTGTCGTAAAAGTCTCGATTACCAAGGTCGATTGATTTTTATCCGTAAATATGATAGATTATAAAAAAGATTTAAAAAAAAAAGAAAAGAAAAAAAGAATATAAACCTTTTATGATTACCATGCATCGTTGAAAATTCAATTAATTTCTACAAGCATTCTGGAATGCTGCTGTATCCTGGACTTTATATGAAACACAAAAAACAGTGAGGGATGGGGTGAGGAGGAGGAGGAGAGAGAGAGAGAGAGAGAGAGAGAGAGAGAGAGAGAGATGAATTAATGTTATTAATGTTAACGACGTTATATATAAAGAAAAAGTGCTTAATTTATATTATCGAGACCTTGTGGATTACT